TGAATACTGATAGGTGAGTAAAGCCGCCAAAAAGGAAAAAGGCTACCACCGGATCAGTTTCGATGGAGTGAAAGCCGTCGTGGACGTCAGTCCTTAAAGGGGGTGGCAATGTTATGAGTCCCACATTGATTTTCTGAACAACTATTGTATGGTTTATAAGACCTTGGGCCCTTTAAGCTAGCTTTTACAGTGGTGACCTCAGGGTTCGTAACATCAGTGCTTTCTTTGATAGTTGAAGCCATGGACATGACTTGATTAAGGTGTCATATCTCCCAAAGAAATGTTGTATTGAATACCAATATTATTAAATTTGACCCGAGCATCAACTCATTTTGGGTACTTGGTCACTGGTCAAACGGATTAACCCGGATATATATATATAAATATATACATAAATACGACATAATGTAATTTTATACACCACGACATTTTATATTTTATACATTTTAAAATTATAATTTTTAAAGAATAGAAAAAATAACAGAGTGGTTTTTGTTTGCCCCTGTCATAACTCTCAATGACAAAATGTTAACGAGATAACCCTATTGGTTACTTCTTGTGCCACAGATCGTGATTCGTGTGCCTTTGCTATAAGAGAATCACAACCGTCGATATCACTTCCCATCAACGGCCACACTTTTCCCTTCTTATTTCATCTTCCCCAAAAATTTCACATTTCTTGCTTTTTCTTTTCCTTCACTTTCTCGAGAAACAAACCCTTTATCTTTCCTTTTAGTTTTCTCCGATCGACATGGTTCGTACCAAGCAGCTCACGAGTCCTTCGGAGGCAAGGCACCAAGGAAGCAGCTTGCGACGAAGGCTCTGGCGATCGGAGGAGTGAAGAAGCCTCACTGTTTCTGTCCAGGAACGGTGGCGCACCAGTTAACAAGACTAGGCGGGTCAACGAGACCCAGAAAAATTCGGGCAGGTCATACGGGTCTTTAGGGGCTGACTGCATGCCCGGTCCTTATGGTGACCCTAACTGTGTCACCGAAACCCGAGTCGACTCGGGTTTAATTATACTGTTGAATATTAATAGGTGAGGGAAACTGTCAAAAAGAAAAAAGGCTACCACCGGGTTAGTGTTGATAGAGTGAAAGTCGTCGTGGACGTCAGACCTTAAAAGGGGTTTAGGTCTCACATTAGTTGTATGAGAAACTGTTGTAGGATTTATAAGGCCTTAGGGCCTTTGTGTTAGTTTTTGGTATGGTAACCTTAAGGTCCGTAATATTGGTGTTTTCATTTAGAGTTGAGGTCATATAAATGGTTACCTATAAGCTGAATTAAGGTGTCATACCTCATAAAGGGGTGTTGTACTGAATATTAATATCTGAGTGAAGTCGCCAAAAGAGAAAAGGTTACCATTGGGTCAGTGTTGATAGAGTGAAAGACACCAGAGACATTGACTCTTAAAGGGGATGATAATGTTACAAATTCCATATTGATTGTATAGTTAATTAATGTAAGATTTATAAAACATTGGACACTCTTTCCCTTTAAATTAATTTTTAGAGTAAATACTCTTTTTGGTCCTCAGAAAATTTCACGAGGCCTATTTTAGTCCCTAGCAAATAAAGAAGTCCATCGTGGTCCCTAAAAAAATTTAAATTGGACCCATTTTAGTCATTTTGAGGACTAATATGGCTCTTTTTTGAATTTGTGAGGGACCACGATTTCAACTAAATGGATCCTTTTGAATTTTTGAAGAACCACGATGAGCTTTTTTATTTACTAGGGACTAAAACAGGTGTTGTGAAATTTTTTGAAGATCAAAAAGAGTATTTACTCTAATTTTTAAGATAATGACCTCAAGGTCCATAAGAAAATGATATTATGTTGATGTGGTTTTATCACTCACAAACGAAGAAAATGCCATCCATACTAATCAATTTAATTCGTATTAATTTTCTTTATATGGCAGAATCAGGCAGATACCCATCATTGCCACAAGTTGAGCAGAACGAAGCATGTAATGCAATTTTTGATTACTTCCCAAAAAAAAGTGTAGATGTCGATGTGGTAGGAGTCGTCCCGTCACAGAAAATTTATTCGTTTTCAGATTTCTCTGGCAATTGGCAACGAAACAAAACCCACATTTATTCATTACTTGGCCGGTGGAACACGTTACCCATCCGATTACAAATCAACGCTGTACCTGATAGCATGCCAGGAAGAGTCCATGAACGATGACATCAAGTCTTAACCACTATAAGAATCTTCTATGTCAATTACAATAATGAATAATCATAACAGCTATGAAATGTCCAAACTCCCAGCTCTTCACAAACGACATGGCCCAAACTTCGAAATCTTTGCTTTTGTTGGATGGTCTACGTCGCTCTTTCGCCGAACTTTATATTCATTAGTGTTCGTCAACTTCAGAGTCAATTTTCTTTCGCTCCATCACTTGCTATATGATTAATCCATCAATTACATCACTAATTATTAGTTGAGCTTCTTTTTTCTCATATCACCTTATGAGATAATATCTCTCATAAGTCATATCATAGACATAACAAGTGATAAAGCCTATTATTTACAAAAAAAAAAAAAAAAGTGATAAAGCCTATTGCTTGTTAAAAAAAAAAAAGATAATACAAATTTCGACACCTCAAAACATGATAAAGCAATTTTCAACAACATGAAAGAATAACTTTCCTTATTATTTTAGATAGAATCACAACTTTCTTATTATTTATTGTGATCATTATTATTGGGCTTGTTTTAACTTATTTTGATAGTTGGTTATTCATATTAAAACTGGCAAAAAAAATTAAGATATTGCATTTTTAATAAATAATTACGAATAAGTTAATGTTTCAAAACTATTTACGAATCTATTGCACTTATTCAGGCTCAAATTAGGCGTGACTATTCACGCTTAAATTAGACGTGAATCGTCTAGTGTTGACACATGACACAAAAAGTTAATAGTTTAATCGTAAAACTTCATAAGACCATAACTTTTGACTCGGGTATTTAAATCAGGTAATTCTTTTTTTGATTCCACATAACTTTTCGAGATCTACGCAATGACATCTTATTTGATATATTTTATCTCTCACAAACAAAGTTCAAATTTGCAATAATGGTAGTATAAAGATGACACCAAAGTAGATTAGTCCATATAAAGTTTAGAAAAGTGTGTGATACAAAACAAAGGCTGAGTCTTTATGGCTGGATTCGTTGGAAGCTTATGAATGGTTTTCAAAAATAAAATTTTTCTTCCTTAAAGATTTAGAATATTTATTTAATTATTTCCTTTATTAATACAGATCTTTCAAATTGGTTTTTGAGTTTAAATTACAAATCAAATCTTTATTTTGTTTTCCTTATTAGTAATAATTTTTTAATTTAAATCACAAACCAAATCTTTATTTTTTTTTATATTAAAAATTAATGTTTTTGATTTTTTAGTTTAAATGATAAATCAAATCGTTGTTATTTTTTTATATTAAATCACAAACGCAGAACTCAGAGGCTTATGGTTTAAACGCTATTATAATATCATTATTGCAAATTTAAATTGTTTTTGTGAGAGATAAAATATGTCAAATGAGATGTCATTGCGTAGATCTCGAAAAGTTTTGTGGAATCAAAAAAAATTACCTGATTGGGATACTTAAGTCAAAAGTTATGGTTTTTCAAAGTTTTACGGTTTGTAAGTTGACTTTTTTGTGCCACGTGCCAACACCAGACGAGTCACACCCAAATTAGGCGTGACTATTCACATCCAAATTTGGCGTGAATGCCTCGGGAGTCACGCCTAATTTGGGTGTGAATGAGTGTAACAGATCCGTAAATAGTTTCGAAACAGCTATGTATTCGTAATTATTTATTAAAATAGTGATATTTTAAATTTTCTGCTATTAAGACTACAACATTGATAATGACATTTTTAATAAGGGAAATTATCCTTTGACACATCAAAATAAAGTTTGGTACCTCGTCTGAAAGTCGTTAATTTTGCTCTAATCTAAGAACTTTAATTTGTAAACATGTGACATCATTAATCTGCCTGGATCTAACAGCTCTTAGATAAGATGTCAAAGGATCCTATCTCTTTTAATAATTGATATACATAAAATTCAAATTAATGAAGTTTATTCATACATTATATATACAGTCCTTGAGATCTTACTATGGTTAATTTTTCTTTCAGTATATGGTTACCGTCAATTTTATATGTTTATATTATCATTTCCCACCATTTCAAATTTAAAGAAAGAGAAAATTTAAACTAACTGTTATGCCAAAAAAATAAAAAATAAGAATAGCTAAGTGATATAAAGGGGATCAATCGTTATCAGATCCCTCGTTTGGAAAAATAATTCTGTAATTCCTATCTGATTCTCTGGATACTATTTTTATTTATTAAATTAAAAACATGAAATATTTTTTGTTATTAAATGTAAAATATATTTTTTATATGATTACTTTTTTATTAAATATTAAAAAATGATTTTAGGGTAGAATATAGAAAATCCCTTGCAATAATGTACCTCCCGACATAGTCCGAAACTTGACTTGTGGATGGCTTCAAACAAGAGTCAAAAAAATTCTACTAGAGTAAAACGTGACATAAAAAATGTAATATAAATATAGAACACAATTTCAAAAACAAAAATTAAATAAAGATATTGTTGTTTCTGATATTTTAAGAGATACTTTTATTTTCTACGCACGTATAAAAATATGTAAGATTCATATTAAAAATTATAAAAGCAGAAAAGAATGAAAAAGATAATATAAATTTTTTACGCACACATTTTTATGCATGCGTGATAAATAAAATTATCTCTACAAAAGAAATTAAACGCTTATATAAAATAAGGGAGAACTCAAAATCTGTAACCAGTTCATACTTCACTTTTGGCCTTCGTATATGCAACTTAATTACGAAAGTACAAGGAATGTTAAACATTTACAGAAAGAATAAGCGAAGCAAAAAAGAAGTGCAATGTTACACCGCGGAATTCTCCACAGTAAATTACGCGCATATACATGTATACATATGGACTTGGAGAACGGAGCCCCCACCCAAACCCGCTGCTTATTTTCTATTTACAGTAGACCCGACCCGTGCCCGAAAGGGAAGTAATTCAGTGCAACTGTGCACAGTAGACACACTAGTTTTTCTCATGGTGGAGGCTATCCCAAAGCGACGAGCATTGCCTTCTAGCGAAGCCCACGCGCTGGTTTTCCAAGTCATACAAAACCTCAAATCCTTGCTGTTGATAATTCCCAAGCGTGGCCCAGGGTCCACCACTTAAATCAGCTTCATCACCACCGTTCATCAGCATCATGCATCCCACTTTCCTCTTCCTTCTCCCTCCATCACCAACGTCTAAAAACTCGTAGAAGTAATTCTTCCTAGGCAGCACCACATTCGAATAATTCCCCACAAAATGCAACGTCACCGTGGGTATTACCTCCACCGCACCATCCAAATAATAACACGGCCCGAGACCCGTTTTGACCTCAACCTCACTCGCGCGCTTGTTAACTCGCCCGACTCGGCGGTCGAACTCAGCAACCACCGAGTTATACAAACTCGCTGGCAACATCGTGAACGTGGTGCCCGAATCAACAACCATGCCGCCGTCTCCCCTCCCGTTCACCCTGCTCAGCATCTCCGGCGCCGGAATAGTTTGCTTCCCGACGGAAATTCCGACGAGCCCCACGCAGTAGAAATAGGGGTGCTTCGGGTTCGGAAGCATGGACGTGTACGCAAACGCAGCCGGTTCACCGCCGCCGCCGCCGTAGCTGCCGAGAATGAGTGGACTCGGTCGTCGAACTCGTTCTTCGTCGAAAGAGTGAGAAACCAAACAATACGAAAAGCGATTACCCAGTTGGGGATTGAAGGTAGCGAGTTGAGCTGGGAGAGACAATAAGCCACGGCCGAAGCCGGCGACGCCGGTGGGTTCGGCGAGGGCGGTGTGGGAGCAACCGAAGGTGAAATTTTTGAGAAGAAGAGAAGAAGAAACGGAAAGGGTATCACGAAAGAGGCGCGCGATGAAGCTTCCATCGGCGTAAGCGTAGTAAAAGGGAGGACAAGAGAAAGAAGAACAATCAGAGGTTTCGATGGAATCCAAGGGACAACGTGCGATTGCACAAAGATCACGGGATGACATGGAAGCGTGAGCTGAGGAACATGCATGGGATTGGCACGAAACGGTGTGGGCTTTTGTTATGTTTGGGGGTTTTGTTGTTTTGGGTTTACCTTCGCAGAGAATGCACTCGAATGGAGCGCATGGGAACCACACGAGATCACTGCCTGTGTCCATGTAGAGGGTTATGGTTTGTGAAGGGTGCGAGCCTATGTTGAAGGAGAGGGTGTAGTCACTTCCTGGTGAAAGTGGCAGAGAGACTTCTTGTCCTTTCGTTTTGCTGTGGAAGCGTGCTGCTGAACGAGTGGAGGTGGATTTGAGAAGGTTGTGGGTACTGTTGAATTGGGTTTTGGAAAATGAGTGTGTTAGTGGCAAAAGAATCATTTGAGATGAGTGTGAAATGTAGAGCATGAAGCAGAGCAGAAACAGGGGAGAAGCCATTAAGGGGATAAGAACAGAGGACGAGGTTTTGAATTATGTGAGAGCCAGAAAAGTGAGGAAGGAAGGACAGAGAGTTTATAGAGCGAGAGGAGAGTATGAGTCAGGGTACCGAGTTGCTCTTGGTGGGCGCATAGGACAATGTTATCGTCTTTTGTTTAAGTAATATTAATGGTGTCGAGTCTAATCAAGCTGCTTAAAGAAGCTCATAGTCATTTCAATTTCATGTTCTAACAAATTAATGGTTTCCTATTAATCCTATTCTTATCCCTGAAATTGGGTGCTACACTTGGTTTTGGCAAAGTATGTAGCAATCCAATAGCCCACTTTTGTTATTTTCTTTAATTTTGTATTTTGTAATTTCTTTAGGGCGTTTGGTTGAGGAGAAATTTTTTGAATAATAGGGAAATGTAATTAATAGGAAAATGGTTAGAAAATGAATTTGGTAGGAAAATGTTAAAAAAATTTGGTTGGAAAAAAATTTACTGAGAAAATTAGATAAATTTTATAAAGTCTATGTTTGATTTAAGATAAAATATAGATGGAAAAATAAGTTGCTATTACAAAAATATCCCCGTTTTTAAATTTTTTTGAATCACCTACCCTTTACCTTTACGAAAATAAGTAGCAATTAGCAAAAGTTGAGGGTATGTTGGTCATCTAATTTTTCACCCATTTCTTCGTTTAGGTAGACAACCTTCAATACCACATATGAATTGGGAATCTGTTGCCTTTCATTTGGGTTCAATAGACGTGCAAAGTGGATGGCTGGGAGAGTGATTTCGCTAGCCAAATATTGCAAACTCTTCAACCAAGCATGGTCAACGAAGAATCCCACTTCTCCAATGCCTATCTATCTCATCAGATAGTTCCAACCAAACGCCCCCTTAGTAATTTTTGTATTATTAAAAAATAAGGATTGTTATAAATTATGTGGAAATGAACTTTTGTTAACTAGTCATACGAAGAACAAAGTATTTCAAATTTCACTCTTGTAATTTCTTTTTCTTTATTTTTTCCTTAATTCTCTCCTTAATTTTTTTATTTTTATCTGCTATCTCCGTTTTCTTTCTGTTTCCCCCCCTATATCTAGCAAAATTTCTGCTACAAAAAGTATGAGAACCTGCTTTCTCATAACTTGTTACTGCGACTTTAGCTTCTTTTGCTTCTTGTCTACCTTATTCCCTTGGTTTGTTGGCGACGGCTAGGAAAAGAAATCATGTAATTGGACTCCTTCCTAATCTTAATACCTAAGTTTCGGTAAAGAATCCTAAATTGCAAAAATCCAATGATTTACGCAGGCTGGCTAAATTTTATGATTGACTAACAAATAAAAATCATATGCTTTCATAGAAAGAAATTTAAAATGCACGGAAAGCATATTGTAGTCACGGTAAAATTAAGGACAGTGAGAAAATTAGCGCCTTTTCTACATCTTAAAGTAAAAAGTGTAATCGATACCTCACAGTTTTCTAACAAATATGAAAAATTTCATTTTCACCCATTTTCAAAATAAATAACTTGAAATGTTTTTTAATTTAATATTTAACTATTATTTTTATTATAATTTTATTTCATAATATCATCATTATATAAAATAAAATTTAGAAAAAGTAAATATCTATATATTTATGAGATCACAAGTGGTCTAAGTGATATATTTTTGTAATCACAATGAGTGTAGTGAAAATTTAAAATCACAGGGAGTTAAATATTAAATTATTTAAGCACAATGGGTCTGAGGACAAGTTTATAGTGGGTGAAAGTGATAAATTATAAAATCGCAACGGGTGAAAGTGAAAATATTTCTAAAAAAATTATAGTTTTATTAGTGTTAGGGGTGCTCGCGGACTGGATTAAATCAGTTTTAAAGCAAAAATTATTTGGTTTGAGTTTTTTTTTAAATCCGATCAATTTTATTAGTTTTGGATTAGATTGATTTTTGATTTTTTGAAAAGCTTAAAATTTCGGCGATATAAATCACTAGCTACGTAAAAAATGAAGCCATGTAAAATTACAAATGACTGAAAAATTCAAATTTTCAAACTAAAATTCATGAAGAGTTAAAATAGAATACGATCCTCCCCAGTACCATCTTTGGGAGGAGTTTAAAGCCTTAATCCTGGACCCGCCCTGAATCAGACTAGTCGCAAAACGATGAACCGATTGGAATATTTTCAAAAAAAAAAAAAGAGTAATAGATAATAAAAAACTAAAATAAGGTAGTTTGTTGTCATAACATCCAATATTCCAAGCAATGTCATAAAAATCGGACCGACCCGGCCGAGTCGACCCGAAAACCGGTGAACTGGTCATGTAACCGGTTCGATTTTCATATTGGACCGGCCATATTACAGAACCGGTGCGACCCGGTCGGTTTTTGTAAAAAATCGGTGACCCGGGTCGGTCTATAAAAAAAAGCTAATTTATTTTCATAAATTAATGTCTTCTCTTTTTTACTCTCAAACACAAATGATTTGTTTTCTTTTGAAATATTTGAGTGATTTGTAGCTTATTAACTTACATAGATTATGTACCTACAACACTAATATTATCTTGATTATGCAATATGCAGAGAATTTTGATTTGATTTATAGTTAGAGATATCGTTTACTGAACCTGAAACACTAGTATCACAAATATTATATGTTTGATTAATCTTTTGTTGGACAATGATGTGTAATTTATTATTTTCATATTAAAATAATTGAAATTGATATATTTTTTTTACAAGTATTTAAGTATATTTATAGTTTTTTTAATATAAATTATAGATTTTCATATACTTACCGGGTCATGCGGTTGAATCAGTAACCCAACGACCCAGTACCTCGACCGGGTCAATAAACGGGCCGGATTTAATAACATTGATTCCAAGTCTACAAAAAACATGAAGATTCTAATAGCTTGTTTAGATCCTCTCTTTTTTAAACCAGAAACCATTTATAAGCTAAAGTTAAAAAATAAAATTTAAAAAAAAGTTAAAAATTGTTTGGTAATAACATAAAATTTTTAGCTTAAAAATTACTTAAAAGCACATATTTCAAGAAAAATTATTTCTCTTTCGTTCTTTATAGCTCTTTATTTAAAAAAGAGAGCATACAATTCAAGAAAAGAAGATAAGAGCTTTAAAAAAAGCTCCTCTTATAAGCTTTTAACTTTTAACTTTTTTCTTTATTATAAATTTTTTTTTTTCATTATAAGAGGTTTTCTTAAAGCCTGTTTGACCTAGCTTATGCTTATAAGTAGCTTATAGTTTAAAAAAGATAAGATCCAAACAGGCACTAAGTCAATCTTTCTCTTCCATACTTCAGTCTTTCAACTTGATCAATGCTCACTTGTGGCCTTCAAAACAACCAGCAAGACAGAAATTTTCATAAAAATAAGAGATTAAAAAGGGTTCAAACAACAATAAATTTAAAATAAATACATGAATAATTAGATTAAAAAACAACAACTTACACCATCAACTTTTAATCAAAATTCGCATTACTAAGAGTTACTGAATTATGAAAAAAATGCATTGGTGGAATTTTAAAAAATAATAAATACATATTATATTAGATCGATTTTCATCAACCAAACAAAAAATTGTTACAATCAAATTAAAATATGCGAGATTTTTTTTGGTTTTTGATTTTTCACATTTTTGATTAATTTGATTATTAGTTTTTTAGTTCGGTCATGGTGGTTTGGATGGTTGATGAACACCACTAACTTTAATAAAAGTAAAATTTTAATTTTAATTTTAATTGTTATTTATATTAATTTTACACTGTTTTTATTTTATTTACATTTTGGATGATAAAAATAAAATAATAAAAATATGCATTCTAATACCTATCTTTCTAAGTTATTTTTCTAAACTGAAAGAAGTGAAAAGAAAAAGTAAGATAATACTGACTCATTCTTTCAAGAATGTTATCTAAATTTTTTGACTATCTAGCATATTTTATGATATCAGATTTTTTTTTAAAATTGTATTGGTGATGAAGGTGGGTCGTAGTCCTATTCTCGTAGATAATGGAAGGCTTCTATCAACGAGTTTTATTAATTTGGAGAAAAATAAAAAAAGACGACAAAAACAAAAGGCAGAAAAAAAAAAACGTGGCAAAAGAAATCAGCGTCAATGTTGAATGCAAACCAATACGTCTGAGACGCCTACCAAGCAGAAAAAGCTGTCAAAGTAAAGTAGCTTTCAAGTCAATCTAGATCAACAATTTAGACGTATTAACCTAATGACGTACACTTTATTAGTCAAAATTTCTTTTTCTTGGTGACTAATTTTTCTTTGAATGACTGTATGATACGACAGTTTATTTCTAGCTAAGATTTAAAAAACAAAATTGTAGTTACTATGTAAGAAAGCGATTACAATTTAAATAACAAGTATATATAATTATTATTTGTTTATATTTTTCTACCTAATTTAAATGATAATGATATTTTAAAAAAATCGTGACCAGATAAAAAAATTTCATTTGTATAATAATAAAACAATAAAGAGAATACAAAATTGACCTTTATCATTTTTAAATTCAAATAATTATTAGTTAGTTCAAATGTTTATTCAATAAATGATAAATCATAAGATGACAATTAATATGTCTAGTTGTCTAAATCATTTTTTTTCCTTCATTTCCCATTATATTACGTTCACAACTTTTCTCCACCTTTTCTCCCCTTCTTGACTTCACTTCTGGTACTTTCTATTGTCGGTAATTTGTTTTAGAAAACGAGCTTACAATAATTAACAGAATAAATTTTATTTGGATGTATAAATAATGGTAAAAATATGATTTGCAAATAATTTTCTTTTATGTAACCAAAAATAATAATTCTCTCTTCATTTGTTTAAATAAATACTCCTTAGTTCTTTTTTTTTTTCCCTTGTTAGAATACACTTAGCAAGAGTGAAAGAGTAAAGATGAGGAGAATGGTAAGAAATTAGTTGACAAAAAATATAATATATCAAACGATGAAGCTAATCATTGAAAGTGCTGCATCATTCACAATAATTAAAAGTTATAATTCAAAAACAAATCTAATATTATACATACTAAAGCCCTCGATTAAGAGATGCTGTCCAGATAATACCGCTTCCTCGCCGCGGGGCTGCAAAGCTCAAGTCACTTTCATATTAGTGGATGATATCTGTTTGGGTCGGTCTTACCAATTATTTGTCTCTAAACATGCAAAATAATATATAGTTTCTGAAATTCCTTATGCCTTGGTTTTGGTTCCACTGAAGTTAGGTGAATTAAGAGTTGCATTCTTTCCTTTCTTTAAAGTTGGATTTGGTATTCACATTAATGATATCTTTATTCTTTGTGATTATTTATAGGGTCAACAAAGTAACATAAGCACAAGATTGGCTGCTTAGGCTAAACAAAGTGAGAAGACAGAAAGTCATCTATTGAGTATTGACTCTCTACCTAATGGATGGTACACCAATCCTATGAAGAAGTATGTATTGTCTAGTATAGGAATAAGGATCTTGTGCAACTAATAAGTATAGGAATTATAAATTATAACGCTTCCACCAAAAAAGAAATAGAACTAAATTCGGCGATGTAGGTGAGTATAAGGACAATTCAAAAGCTATTGAGAATTAATTATTATGTAGGCCAATCTCGCAAAATCCAACTCATCTAGTCGCTTGGAAGTTTTTTAAGTAATACCAACATTAAATATCTTGGCCAATTCCATTTTGCCTTGCTGGCTTCATTCTTTTGTTAGCAGATAAAATATACTAAGCCCGAATGCAAGACTTTTAACTAGATTTCAGATTGTGGATTATCTTTATTCTCGGTTCTTCTCAACCACGGAATTTAATAATTTCCGTCCTTTTTCTTAAAATGTTTCTACAATTTCTGTTTTACAGCTGTTCGCATGCACATTATTTTCGAATTCATGCTAGATAAAATGATTGTTGATGCTCTCTTTCCTGTGATTGTTGCTGCTTATAAGATTTTGGTGCAGAAAGTTTGCCTCATTGTCTATGCAAAATATCTTCCTAAATGTTTCTGGGCATCTGGCAAAGCATTGATTAGGGGACCTGCATTCAATTCTCCCAAGATTTACCCATGAAGTATTCTTAGCTACCAAGTCCTAAATTCTTTCCTTAAAAGTACGACTCCTATAGACCCGATAATTTATCTTCTTCTTTTTTACCTATTTTCAATATATAATAAATTCACGTGTAGGATCTACAATTTGGCACATCCAATCTACAATGATTTTCATTGTGTATCTCTTTTTCATTTAAAATGACACAATTTTATGCCCGCACAAACACCAAACCCGTAAAAAATGTACAAATATAAGATGTTATATGTGTAAATGTGTCCGGCAATGCTAATCAAAATTTTCATGCCAACAGGCCTATTAAATAGTTGACTTGACATTAATGATTTAATGGTAGATATACAAGAGTTATAATGTATGTACTCTTCTATTCATGAGGTGGTCACTAAAAGGACCTTACTTAAATGACTCTGAACAAATTCGACACATCAACTACTACATTTACATGTACTTGACTGTCTCTGCAACTGTGTCCCAATGTTTTCCCACCGGCGACAAATATGCTATGCAAAACAATTTTGAACTCAATACATTTTACTCTTTCTTAAATGTCGAAGTTCCTTATATAAGACTGCTAGCTATACCGGGCATCTAAATTCTCAAATTCCATTAATCTGGGTGCTATGCACGCGATTTTGAATCACGCAGACTACAAACTCAAGTCTTCAAAGAAAGCCGAAAAAAGTTTCCAATGCTAGCGTTAGCATAATACGGTAGTCACCACCACAGCATCCTGCAGTTCCAACTCAGGCAGTTAGGGCATGTTTGGTGCGACGTATAAGACCTGATAGTATAAGCTTATACTATACATTATGATAATCTCAGTTGTTTGGAGTGACTATTGTATTGTATAAGCTTATACATCATACCCCCTTAATACATCAAAATGATATATAACTTAATCAGGTCTACAAGGGTGGGATGACACCTGATAAAGAATTAATGTATAAGGCTAATCACATACCATATTTTTTTTACCCATTACAACCCTTCTTCTCCTTTCTTCCCCATAGCTGCTACTACCCTAACCTCAAACGAGCTCGCCAGAAGCTCCTCGAATGCACCGGCATATTCTTCCTCGACGGCGACATCAACGACGCCGCACTCCTCCGAAAGCTCTTCGACGTGGTGCTGTTCACCCACGTGATGCACCTCACGGCGCAGGCTGGGGTCCGCTACACTATGCAGAATCGGCGAACCCTCATCTCGCCATTGTTTGGGCTTCCACGAGCTCCGTTTACAGTCTCAATTTGAAGGCTTGTCAACATAATGGAGAAGCTTCTGAAAACCAAGGCAAAGAATAGGTGCTTCCTATGCCGAGAAATGGAGATGTTAAGTTCACCCATGCCAATATTAGTTTGGTTCACAAGGACCTTAGGTACAGATCTACCACTAATTTGGAGATAGGGCTCAAGAAATTTGTAAAGTTGTACCTTGAATTTTATTGTGGGTCTAACATGAGTATAGGTTTGAAGTTTGTTACAATTGCAGGTGTACAGTTGTATTAGGTATTAGGGAATAACTAGGCAATAGGCATCACTGTCCCTCTTTTTTTCTTCTTTGTAATTTTGCTTCATTTTCATAATCAATTGTATGCCTTTTAGGTTATTCATTGTACATTCTTCAATTGTGACTTTGAGAGTTCGAGTTGATGTTACTTTTTGTGCAAGCATTTTTTATTTTCTTGTATGTTGCCAGTTCAAAACATTTGCATCCTAAAGTGTTCCTTTGCCTGTTACTATTATCATTTAGGGATGAATTGTCTGATTCAATTGGTGACATTGGTGGAACTTTCAATGTAAATGTCAATAGTAAATAACTTAGTAAGCTTCTGTCATTCAGAATGCTGTTTGGTTTTAGAGAGTCACTTGGTTTTTTCACATATTTATGTTATTTGGTGGCACCGACTTTGGGATGATGACTAAGTAATTAACGAATGATCATTGTTATGCAATGGTTCTTGAACAAAGCTAAAATGATAAATATGTATTTGATCATGTATAACAGTATAGTCATGTGGGTTGCAAGATATTCAAGGACAATTAATTTGATTAAAATGCTTTTTAGAAATTTGCATATTTCTTTCAGATTTCCTGGGAGTTTGGTCTTGTTATGAATGATCAAGAGTGGCTAAATCTGCATACCAGCTAAGGTTGGTAAGAAGGAAAAGAACCCTCAACTTTGGAGGATCTTGGTACCATATCTTTGTCTAGTATAATATTATTAAGCTGTTTGGAACTAATGGCTTGTTAAAATTAAGACTATTGTTATGTTTGTTCAGCAAATGGTAGCATTACCACATGATGCCATGCTTCGTTGACAGCTATAGCAAGAGGTCTGATTGTTAAATCTTCATTCTTGTCAGTTTAGGTGACTCGTTTGGTGCTCAAAAGATAAAGAAATACCAAATGTAATCATGAATTAATAAATTTTTTGGACACTGATTGATAGAGTTTTATAAAAATTAATATTTGGAGAAATTATATAAATTCTTTATTAAAGGGTATTTTTGTCAAAATTATTTATTTTTATCCAATCTAGTATTATACATTGCATTACCAAACACTGGATAGTAGTATCTTACACAATACATTATCTTATACAATATCAAGCCAAACACTGTATAGTATTAAAATTTAATCAGGTCTTATACTATCAGGCCTTATACTATCAGGGCTTATACTATCAGGTCTTATCCTATACATCACACCAAACAAGCCCTTATGCTGAATATACGTCATTAGAGCTTTTGTTACTGTTCTGGACCAGCCAGTTGAGCCTGTTTGGGCTTCCCCTAGGCCCAGTCCATTGATTCACCACAGGACAAATGGTCCCATTACACCTGATTTTCCCTCACTCCCACTCACGCATGGCCCTCACACTCACAAGTGATGAGCTATGCAGCCTCACACATCAATTGAGTCTGCAGAGCTGAAAATATTTATGGCATCACACTTCCCATGCTAGGGAATCTTCCCCCATGCTATATATATATATATATATATATATATATATATATATGCTCACTCCTCGAAACAGTCATCTTCTTCACCATTGCTCAACATATTGTTACTTTGCCAAAACCTCTCCTCATCATCCATAATCGAATCCTTCACCTTCCCCTCGATTATCAGCTTGTGTGAGATCTTCACGATGACCTCCACTGAGCTATAATTCATACTATTGACTCATTTTGTCACTGTTACATTGATATACTTCACCCTTCAAGGGATACATCATCCTTCCTTAACAAGTTCAGTTACTATATATAGCAGTTGCCAATTTACCATTCTTATTAGTTGTTGTACATATGAAGGTCACGTAAGATATCATATCATGCATCATAATTTACAGATCCAAAGGGATAACTTTAACTACAAACTTTGCTCATCAGAAAATTGGAGAGGAAAGTTTGAATGAGATTCAATATATCTACCATCTTACTTGAAAGATGAAAAGCCAACATCAAGTTAATTTATTCTTTTGAGTGAACTGTTGGCTAAGGCTTAATCTGTTTCAGAAACTTCTCCGCTTCAATGAAACCAAGTGGTCCGAAAGAAAGGTATTTTATACATCTCCATCTGCTTAAGCTCATGAAGTGGCAAGTTTAAGTATCCAGGCAGCATACATGACAAGCTTAAGCATAGAGTAACCAGAAAGATGAATAGTTACCTGGGAGTATATGGTAACGCCAAACAATGGAGGTGTAGGTGGTCAACAGAGTTCAGTGGAGGCTGATGAAAGCCAAATCTGTCAAAAAGAATCACATGGTCATGTTTGGTTTGAGTACAACAATTAACTTCAGGTCAAATCAACCTCCTGCTTTAAACCAATGTTCTAGTTCTCTGTATTCTATTCTTGTTCTTGTTTTTCTGGTCACAGTATCAAATTCTTGTTCAAGAAGTTCACACAATTTGTTTGTTGTTAGTAATCCAGGTTTCACAAGCATATTCAAAGCTCAAAATCTTAAGAAAAAATTACAATGTGATTGATGTATAAAGGTATGTCAAATTACAAAAAATGGATATTCAAACCTACATAGACACTTTACTTTTCAACTCAACTTTCATCCGTAGTTACCTAGAATGTTAAATATAAAACCGTTATGCAGAGTCTCCAGTCTCGTGTCTTCGGATGTGTTCCCTTCATCCATGTCCATAAACAAAATCGGATTAATTAGAGCCTAGAGCCCTTAAGTATGTCTTCCTTGGTTATGATCCCAACAAGAAAGGATACAAATGTTACCATCCTCCAAGTCGTAAATTCTTTGTCTCTATGGATGTTAGCTTTCATGAATCTGAATCCTACTTTAAAAACCCTCAGCTTCAGGGGGAGAACAGTATAAAAGCTTCATCCATTTTCTTTGAGTCTGAGTCTCCCTTTCTGTTACATACATCTCTTACCCAAGTTGAGAAGGAAGACTTAGTTGTTGAGACTGAAAATTCATCTGATTCCTCATGTGACATGCCTCCTATTGATCAACAGAGAGTACGCAAAGCTGGGACACCCGAACTAGTGTATCAAAGGAAGAAACAACCCACACTGCTCCATCAGCAACTGCAATCGCCCGAACCGTTGGTATGTACTAAATGCACTACTTCTTTTATTCCTGAGCCTGATATTAATTCTGATGACTTACCCATTGCTGGGAGGAAAGGAAAAAAGTCTTGTACCCAACACCCTATTTCTCATTTTGTCTCCTAAGAATCTCTCTATGCAGCATAGAAGTTTTATTATAGCACTTGACTCCATTTCAATCCCGAAATCAGTACATGAAGCATTAAAGGATGATAATTGGGTTCAAGCCATGCATAACGAGATGAATGCGTTGGGGAAGGCCAAATGGAAAAATGACAGTAGGGTGCAGATGGGTGTATACTCCGAAGTATAATTCTAATGGGACTCTCTTGAGAGATATAAAGCTCGACTGATAGCCAAGGGAAACACACAAACTTATGGTATTGATTATGAAGAAACATTTGCTCCAGTGGCCAAAATGAACACTGTAAGAGTTTTATTGTCTCTTGCTGCTCATTTTAATTGGGATTTGAAACAATTTGATGTGAAAAATGTCTTCCTCAATGGTGAATTAGAAGAAGAGGTTTACATGGAGATCCCACCAAGATTTAACTCTACAAATGGAGATAATAAAGTTTGCGGATTGAAGAAGGCGTTGTATGGCTTGAAGCAATCCCCGCGCGCTTGGTTTGGAAGATTTACCAAAGTTATGCTTTCATTGGGATACAAGCAAAGTCAAGGAGATCATACACTTTTCTTTAAACATTCTCAGGAGATAAAACCGCTATCCTTCTAGTTTATGTTGATGCTATGATTATAACAGGGGATGATATATGTGAGAAATGTGATCTGAAAAAAAGACTTACAGCTGAATTTGAAGTTAAAGATCTTAGAAACCTGAGATATTTTTTTGGGATAGAAGTTGCCCATTCAAAATAAGGTATTTTTATTTGTTAACGGAAGTATGTTCTTGACCTCTTTAAAGAAGCAAAAAAACTCAGGTGTAAACCCTCTAATACTCTGATTGAGCAGAATCACAGGCTATGAAGTGAAAATGATAGGATCTGACAAATTAATCAGAGAAATAAACGCAGCAACACAAGACTTTTGGCCCAGAAGAACTGGATTTTCTGTATATTAATCAAAGGAAACAATACAATAACAAGGTTGTTTATGACAGAATGATAAATGCAGAATTAAAATAAGAACATCAACTAATTCTAGAGGCTGGTTCAGTGCAATTAAAGAGGCACTGATCTCTCCCAAGAACTCCCAATTTTCCAGCCTCCTCTCCTCTTTTTTCTCCATCTATTTATACTAAGCATTATTATTCTTCACATGTGACTCACCTCATTGCCTCTAACAAAATTTCCCTTCTAGAATATTCCCCCTCTAACTGCCTTGGTGACTCAGCATGAGTGCCTTGAGTGATTGATTCTCTACAATTCATTCTAGAATGTTCCTTAAGATATGGTATCCTAACAATACTTCCCCCCTAAACACTCACCTTGTCCTCAAGGTGAGGTGCAGTCCTCAAAAATAAAAAATAAAAAATAAAATAAAATAAAACAAAAAATTCCACCGGGATCCCATTGCTTGAATTGCAAGGACCTCCTTATGTATGAGGATGCATAAGAACTTTCACTTGATGATGCACAACAACTTCCACCCGGGTCCCATTGTATCTCTTTAACTTCCAAATTTTGAGCCAATGCATTTGAACCACAAACTTCTGACACTTCAATGTTTTGTGCAAGTCCTCGAGGAATAGGAAGAAAGTTAAGAATACCCGTATGGCAGAATTCACGGATATGCAACTTGCAAGGATAAAATATTGTACCTTGTGCAAATGGGCTTATGGGCTGCCAAGCCCAATTCGCACAACAAACAGAGACAAAAATACCATTATTTTTAGATTGAACTGGGCACATCTGAACCTTAATCAGATCCAATTTCATTTCCGCTTCGTGCTGCAATTTTCTCACGCAATTATAGCATGCCAACTCCTCGCCAAAGCTTGAATCTGGCGGCTCCGGTAACGGTGGAGGTTGCGCCACCTCCTCCGGCGGCTGTAGGATCTCTGGTACCCCTGTAACCCTTGCCAACAACTCCACCCTTTGCGGACCTCCTTCCTCTTCGTCAATCTCCAGCAAGTTCAATTGGGGGGTTTTGCAACTACATTCAGGGTTCCATTACTCTTCACCGTCTTCATCGTTGACAATCCGTAAGCTGAGCTGCGCGATCTTGAAACGGCGAGAAAGGTTCCATCGTTCCTCACCCTTGAAGCAAACCCCTCCCTTCATACGATCTTGAAGTTCTGTTTGGGTGAATCTTCGATTTTCAACCCTAGAGTTTTGGCTTCCCACACTTCCAGAAAATTGATTCCCGTCTTCTACGTTAAGATTTTGGACGAAACGCATCTTACCCTCTGAAGCATTTTGGTGGGTACGCGCGTCACTGAGGTTGCTATGGTGACTTAAGTGAGTCACTTGACCTGCAGAAGCTGAGCCTTGATTGTTTCGAATGGGCTGGGCTGTTCGATTAAGTCCACTCCACCCAACCCCAAACCCATCTTGGACCCCAGCCTCATTTCTCATTTCCAACACACGCATCGCCTTCGTCATCTTCTCCGTCAAGCTAGCTGGTTTCTGCAACAGCTCCGTTGGATGGCTTTCTACAACGTCCACACCATGGCCTCGAGGAAGCTCTAGCTTAGGAGTTAGCCAATCAACGAGGTGAATGTCTGTGTTGATACTCTCTTCTGGTTTCGATGATTTCGACCTTCTTCTGCAAGAAGGACGGTGACGGTATCTTCTCCTGCTTCGCAAAAGCTGCTCGATCTCATCTAATTTTTGTTCGGTTCCGCGAAAACGCTCTTCCGTTTGTTCCTCACTCCTCCTAATCATCTCTTCTATGATCTCCAAACGAACTTCCATGGCACGCATCAACCCGTTCAAAGCACCCTTAGGATCGGAGTGCTCTGATACCAATTGATAGGATCTGACAAATTAATCAGAGAAATAAACGCAGCAACACAAGACTTTTGGCCCAGAAGAACTGGATTTTCTGTATATTAATCAAAGGAAACAATACAATAACAAGGTTGTTTATGACAGAATGATAAATGTAGAATTAAAATAAGAACATCAACTAATTCTAGAGGTTGGTTCAGTGCAATTAAAGAGGCACTGATCTCTCCCAAGAACTCCCAATTTTCCAGCCTCCTCTCCTCTTTTTTCTCCATCTATTTATACTAAGCATTATTATTCTTCACATGTGACTCACCTCATTGCCTCTAACAAAATTTCCCTTCTAGAATATTCCCCCTCAATCTGCCTTGGTGACTCAGCATGAGTGCCTTGAGTGATTGATTCTCTACAATTCATTCTAGAATGTTCCTTAAGATATGGTATCCTAACAGAAAATGAGAGCCCTCCAGTTGAAAAAGGACAATATCAACGAATAGTAGGAAGATTGATATATCTAGCTCATACTAGATCTGATCTAACTCATGCAGTTAGTATTGTTAGTCAATTCATGCATGATCCGAGGGAGAAACACCTGCGAGCTGTGGACAGGATTCTCCAATACCTGAAAGGCACACCAAGCAAAGGACTACTGTTCCAGAAAGGAAGAAACCTATCCTTAGAAGTTTTATACAGACGCTGATTATGTTGGATCTGTGACTGACCGACGGTCTACTTTGGGCTATTGTATGTTTCTCTGTGAAAATCTAATAACATGGAGAAGTAAAAACGAAAATGTGGTTGCTAGATCTAGTACATAAGCAAAATTTCAGGTCATGGCTCAAGGTATCTGTGAGTTATTGTGGCTGAAAATCATTCTCGATGATCTTGAGGTGAGATATGAAGGGTCTATGAAGTTACTCTATGATAACAAGTCAGCTATCTGTATAGCCCACAATCCAGTCCAACACAATCGAACCAAACATATTGAGATTGATCGCCACTTCATCAAAAAGAAACTAGATAGTGGACTGATCACTATTCCATATATTCTTTCTGGTCGTCAATTGGCTGATGTCTTAACTAAGGGTCTTCCTACTGATAGGATTCAAGAGCTTACTAGCAAGCTGAGAATGATAAATATTCATTCCTCAGCTTGAGGGGAAGTGTTGTAAATATTAAAATTATTTATTTATTATTTGTATTAACTAGAATACTCTAGAAGTGTATTTGGGCTTAGCCCATAAAGTCTTTTAGCTCAAGAGTGCAAGGTTTAACTTGGGTTCCTCTTGGAATGCAAAATGGAGATACCCACAATCTTTGCTAAAACCTGATCGATCAATTGTCTTGGATCCAAATAAAAGATTGGAGTGATTGACGACATTACGGAGAAGTGAATCATCCATGACCTTCTTTGTTGAACCTGAAACAGAGGTGCTTATAGCACCTAACACAGGGTTGTTCATAGCCCCAAAAGCTGGTGTGCCTAATGAATCAAATGGTGGCAGAATTGAAAGATCAATTTCCGTTCGAATGGCCTTCAACAATTCTCTTGGTTCAAGTGGTTCTGAGTGATTAACATTCAAGGATGATGGAGTGTCGGTAGTTTGATTTCCCGATTGTTGATTCAGAAGCTCCCTTGTGCGTGCATCCATGGCTAACACAGTGGTGTGGAGTTGCTCATTTGAGCCACAAGAAGAGAAATCTGGTTTTGTTAAACATCAAACTTGGTTTCCAAGCGTTGCATTTGAGCTGCGAATCATCCAACCTTTGCTCAACATGTAACTGAAACGATTTAAATACGCATCTTGAAGATGGTGGCTTGTTCAAGATGAAAGCACCAATGTTAGAGCTGAGCTCTAAAGGAGGAGGAAATTCTCAAGATTAAGGGACTTAACAGAGAGAAAAAAATAAAGAGAAGGAAGGACACAATCAATTCAAGTTTCGTTATTCATTCCATTTCTATGCTTTACATGTTTATTTATACACACAACGCTACTACATTTTCGTAACGATCATGTAACTCCTCTAGTAACAAACTCTAACTTCCTAACAGGACCCATATTAGTTTTGCTATAACCGTAAGAAAAACATAACACCAGACAGCATATTCAACAAATGGAAGAAATTACCAGTCAAGTGGTTATGCACTAGTAAAATTTTATTAAAAATATATCTACATGTTACCAAGTTTTATGAATACAGACAATCACAGTCAATATTGTATTGAAGCAAAAAACAGTGCATCAATAATCAACATCACCTTTATCTCAAACAATTAGGTCGCAGAGATTATGTTAAAATAATAATAATAATAACAATATAAGAGCAGTTTGGGTTTCGCCCGTGTAAATCAGAATGCTCAGCAATTATAGCATTATAGGTATGAATCCAATAATGCAAATTATAGCAGCAACTGCAGTTGAAATCAGCATCGCAGATCAATCTACCAGTACAAACTTGACAAGGAGAAAATAATAAGCATTGCACTTTAAATAACCCAATACCTGTACTGCTTGGACTGAGGTGCATCTCTAATTGTTAACATTCTCCCCACCTCTAACATGTGACTCACTGGATGATAAAGTAGGCAATCATGAAACTGGACCAGGCAAATTTGAACATATACATAAATCTAAAACTATGAAGTAGCTAAAGCTATCAGTTTCTATACCCAAAGAATAGTCTTCAGTTTTTCTCTGAAGATCTTTAACAGTAGGAATGTGCTCGACAGGAACTACTAAGTAATGCCTAAAAGTTGTCAGGTTCAAATTGGTAACCTCAATAAATGTCAAAATAGAAACAAGGAAAACAAGTGAAAAGATAGTTAATCAGGAAACTAAGGAGATAAACTCCTCAACACACAATCAGAAAATGTAAAGAAACAAAAGCTGACAAAGAAATCTACAGCAGCCAAAAATATTTGGAAGAGTAATCAAATTTCAGATTTCACAAAAATTAAATTGTAAATTATGATATTGATACAGAAATCTCTCGGCCTTAAAAGGCTATATAAATTAGCAATTCATTGAAGTGGTAGCATTTTTTATTAAGATCAAATGAGTCAAATCATGGATTGTGAGTACCTGAGAGCAGATGGATTAATGTCCCGAAAAGCAACAACCTTATCATCCTGCATTTTCCGATTCCGAAACTGAATCAGAAAGTGAACAAAACTCAAAAAAGAAGATAAAGAGAGAGAGAGAGAGAGAGAGAGAGAGACAAACAGAGTAAAGAAGAGTATCGGAGCTGGATTTCGTCGCTATTTCACAGAAAACACACGATGCTATCGATCCTCTTGCTCCCGCCATTTTTTTGCCCTAACACTGCCTATCGCATCGCATTGGTTGGAACTTCCGAATTCCAAATTCCAATGGCATTTTGCTGTAACAATTATGCCACGTGTCATATCCGCCATGTGGAGTGTTGTTCAGAAAAATTGTGCATTTGTTTTCAAAATAAAATGGTTTGACTTTAAAGACACAAAAAATAAATTAAAAGGGAAGAGTAATGACACAAATTGTGTCATTTTGGAGCAAAGTTTCTGTGTTGCGGGAGCAGAAATAATTCGGTGAGAAAGAAAGAAAAGATTGAGGAGTGAAGAGAGAGAATTTTTTTTTTAATCTAAACGTTAATTTTTTAATGAAAGAACCATGGTAGTTTGGACCACGCTAAAAAATTCCGTCATTTAGACACAAAGATATTTGATCTATACGTTTATTTTTATTTTTTTATGTATATGAAATGATATGGTTTATGTCATAAAAAACCATGCACAGTTTTCCCATAAATTAAATATATGTTTTCACAGATTAAAAGTAGACAAAATACCATGATAAAAGTGAGTATTTTTCTGTGAATCTGTGATTTACAATTTAAAACTTTTATTTTATTTTGGGATAAAGTATGTATTAGACAAAGAATACAAGTATTTCTAGTACCAAAAAAAAAAAGAATACAAGTATAACATTTTTATCATTTTTCCCATTAATATTGATTATTTCAAGTAGTTAAAAATTACACATTCTAAGTTTCTAACCTTTTATCTTTTGACTGTTCATCCATTTTAATTTTTATCATTCATTTGTTTGATCTTTAAATATTTAATAATTCATTCTTTTTTTAAACATTTTTTTGTGTTATTAATGTCAAATACGGCATTATGTTTATTTTTTCTGTTCCCGTCGAAATATTTTCTGGAATTCAAGAGGGTGATTTCAATTTAACTTTAATAAATGGGGAATGATCTGTTTACAAATTTCTTTTTACAAATTACACTATGTACTCCCGGAACAACATAGTGTAACCTAGTGTTCTCCCGGAAGAATATAGTGTAATTTGTAAGAGTTTGTAAACAAAAAGTTTGTAAATATAACTCTTCCCTTAATAAATTAATATAGCACCAGTAACTTATGAATCAAGGACGCGAATTTGAAAGTAACTAACAGGTCACTCTCAACTCAAACTTTTTATCAATGTCTCAAGGTATCAACCATAAGCTAAAAATGCACCCAAGACACAACCTAAAAAGCAGTCTTCTTGAGACCATGGAACCAGACTTCTGCAGTTTTGAGACCATGCCACACTTCGGAGTTCTTAGGATGCAGTCTAAAGGTGTCTTGTCTTTATTTATTTTTTTCTGTTCTGGTTTCTTTTGGGCTGATACCCTCCCTATGTACCCAAAAACAAAAACAAAATAAAAAAAAAAAAACAAGAAAAAAAAAACATAAATCATAATAGTTAAATATTTAGAGGAAGAAATTATATTTATAACTTATTTTTTTATAACATTTTATTCTTAGATTAAAATTAAATTAATAGTTACAAAATAATATCAAAGATAAAAAAATAATTGAAAATATATAATCTATTCTCAAATGATATAAATAAGCACGTATCAGATGCAGCCTCCATTTTAGTGATAGAACCAAAGTTTCTACATAATATTAAAGTAAAAAATTATTTAATAAATTTGATTGTAATCCGTTATTAGTAAAAAAGATTACACTATTATCCAATTTTGTTTTAACATCTTTAAAAATTTAAATGTAGTATCTAAGAAGACATACTTTAAAGGGAATTATTTTTCTCATGTTACATAAACAAAATATTATCTCTTACACTCACATTTCTCAAATGGGTCCCACAAGATTTTTTCTTTCTCACCTTTAACTTTTTTTTCTCTCATACTTTTTGTTTGAGCATGAGATAATACTTCTCTTATACAACATAAGAGAAGTATTACCCTACTTTAAATTATGTGATAGGATGCGATAGTAAAAATTTACGCGGACAACATTGAATCCTTATTTAATTGCCATTCGTGAGTCAGTTGGAGGTTGCATGAGACAGCCATCAAGATTGACTTTATATTAGTATAAACACATCTTAGGGAAGTCAAAACATCAAATGGAACTCCTACGGCTACTGCCCCAAGAGCGACCTTATGATTAGGCAAAGAATCAACAATAAAAGGAGGATGACAAATAAAAATTAGGATGGGCCAGCAGCGCAGTAGCTTGGCAAACCACTATATTCACATCCTAAAATGCCCTTATTTCATACATTTTTAGGGTGTAATACAAGATGATAAAATAAAAAAATTAAAAAGAAAAAAAAGTGAAGTTACCATTGACCCAAAAATCGTAAAAGGTACCTCTTCTAATTCCATCTAACAGGATAAAATGCTGCACCTCGAGCATGTAAACCAGGCAAAACTGCTAGAGGTAACAATGATATTGATGTGTATAATAATAATCTTTATATCCTGTGGGTGCCCTGGGGTATCAGTAATTCTTCATAATCACCAACCCAAACCTGCTTCAAATTTTGAATTAGCCCATGTATCAACCGGATACAAGAGATTATAACAACAAAAGATTAAACGATAACAACAGCAACTGCTAATACCTTGTGTTGATTGCCAGCATAAGCGTACTCTACATACAACTGTTTAGGTTCTCCCGGACATGGATCACAAAAACCCATGATGCCTGATTTTTTAACACCTTCATGAAGCTGCATCAACAAATAGGACATTAATTATTTAAAAATAAAAAACGGCAGTCTCAAATTGTAAACCATGTGGATTCCGAAGACGTATGGCAAATCACAAGATGGATTCAACAGTATAATATTAATTTATGCCAAATCTTAGCTATACAAGTTGCACGAAAAAGACGACAACATAAACTTTTACCAGGTAATCATAATCAATTAAATACGATTTTGCTTAATCAGTAAAGGCTCAAAATTCAATATTTAATGCATAAATTAGTTGCTTCTTTCGGCTTACATATTGATACAAATCTTGGAAGAATCTCACCCCAAAAGCTAGCCCGTAAGGTAAAAGTGCCCAAAAACCATATAAACCCCACACCAGACCCTTATATTTCCGATGTGGGACTCAAGTCCCATACCTGGCAATTGGATCATAACATCCCACTATGCTCTGCAACCCTGGCATCCAAGCGGTCTTGCTTTGCGATAATCTTTTACTAGCCCTAGGCGAACACTGCAATACCAACATCACCAGCCGCGCCACTTGATTGCAACTGGAAAACATAGTGGAAGGCTCTAATACCAATTGATACGAACCTTGGAAAAGTCTCATCCCAAAAACTAGCTCATGAGATAAGAGAGCTCAAAGTTCATGTAAACTTCACACCAGACCCTTATGTTTATGATGTGAGACTCAAGTTTGATACCTTACAATTGGATCGTAAAACATGAAAATGAATTCTCTCGAGAGAAACCTCTCGTGCGTTTTGGCTGCTTCCCTGAGCTACAAGCGAATGTTACAAGGCTGACTACTCCTCCAAGATTTCAGAGTAATTTAAGTAATCGCATTGAGCAACAAAAACATATATGTGTACCTAACCATGTCCTTGGACCCTGAATCTCTTTTGATGTAAAACTCAAGGTTCAGAAATTTGGTTTCATTCCAAGAAATTAAACAGAAAAATATCACCCTAACTATAAGTTTCTATTACTTGTCTCCAATCATTCTCTCAAAATCTTAATTTTAAGTTTTTAACCCATCATGCCTGATCAAAGGAGTGTGCTGCATTTTCTTATCCTGTATTTACTGCAATATTATTATTCATGTGGACAAGTAGGCCCAAAAAAATGTTAAAAAATTGTAAAACTTCATAACTAACAAATGTCTATAATACTTTGTGAGAACATGCATTGGGAAAAAGAAAATGAACATACCTTGAGTAGGCCAGAGTCATTAACTAGAAAATTCAGAGGTATTGTAACATCAATGACTTCTGAAGTTGATTCAAAACTTGTTTCACTTGATGAATTCAAGTTGTTCAAAATTATTTGATTTCCATACAGCGCTCTCATAATAACCAGTCCACCTGTTTCTAATTGCCTGTTTCTTTTCCTATTTGCCACATTTTGTTGTAATTTCTGAGCTTTCTCTGCGGCAGCCCTTGCTTCTTGAACCTGCACAAATATTTGCCTCAGTGGGGGAGAGCGGGGTATTATTCAATGGAATTTACCAAAAGAGCAGAGGTTGGGGCATGTCTCCCCCTCAGATGATGTCATTTCTAGAGGTGGAACTATATTATGTACTGGCATTCATCGCAGAGGAAATAAAGGAGACAAATGTTTCCTTTCAAATTCAAAATGCATAGAAACAAACTAATCTTCATGAGTCATGACTCTTGAACTGATTCTGTATCTGAACATTCGACAATCACTATTGAAAACTCCAAGGAGGCATTTGGTGAAATTGAATCCTAATTCCCCAGGTATATTGGAATACTGTAAGATATTTCGATATGAAATATATGCGAACTCAAGGTCCTGTATTTGTATGATAATTGATAATTACAAAGGATTCTCAAATCTAAAAAATGCATTGAACTAGTGATTGGCAGCACATACAATTTTTATCCAACTATAATCTTCTTAGTTGGAGTATACTTGGGTATTTAACACAGCAAGTACCATGGATTCCCTGTTATATGACAAGCATTGGATAATAGAGAAATCTTGGACTGAAAATATATATGACTCCACATAACAAACAAATTGATAAAATCACAAAGAATTCTCTTAGAAATTCCAAATGAATGGTTAAACAAAACAATCTTCTGACTTTCAAACTGATCAGTATATCCATTGGCTGGAACTTAGACTTTTTTTATTTTTTCTTTATTAATTTATTTATTTTGGGAGGGCTGATAAAATCACAAGGTGTGTTATCACTGCCGGGCATTGACAAGAAGCACATCTGAAATTGTTAAAGAGATATGATCAAAGCTATCACACAGCAAAAAAATTTAAGATATTTGACATGAGGGTAATAGTTGCAAATAAGAAACAACAATGATACACAAGAAAAATAGAAGCCAATGCCCCTACTCCTTTAGGCAAATTAATCACCCGTACCTGAACAGAAGTTTTTCCTTCCTTCTCTAGAGCCTTTTGCTTATTCCTTCTAAGGTAATACGGTTTAATAAAAAATTTCTGCAAACCCACAACACAAATATTAGAAGAACAGATGACGGAAATACCACCAAACTGTTCAATAAACCAAAGAACCACCTCTTCCATATTAGCTGAAAAATAAGTAGTTATCTTATTTCTTCCTATAATGTTTATGCACCAGAAATATTGGGTAATAAAAAAGTGATAAATGGTGATCAAGATCTCTGTAACTAATGCTACAGCTATGAAAAGTTTCAGGAAGCATTTTCTTTATATTTTCAAAAAATTTGTCCTGCCTATCCACATGCTCAGCAAGTGGATGTTTAAGTACAAGTCAGAATATAATTATACAGAAAATATCACCCAAAGGAAATACAGCTTTCAAGACTATGCTTTTCCCATATTGCAGTTTTTATGTATGGACATACAGTAACTAGGCAGACAATATAAAAGTAGCAGAAAAAATATTTGATAACTTTGTGAACTGCAAAAAGACACTCATAGTATAGAGAGGGAAATTTATTGGCGTGTACTACAATTAGCTATGTTCTTTGGTGATGACGGTAGAGCACATGATTTTATTCCCAACTAGCACTCCTGCAACTGTTGTACTATTATTTTTTAATTTTTACTTGTTTTTCAAAACTAAACTGTACATATACCATTCTTTACAACCAATTAACTGCTGTCATAAATGTGGTGTTAATTACGTTAAGAACAGTTATTTCATATTTTCATTACAGAACTAAGTATAATGATAGCTAATTTGGAATCACACTCCTCAGCATAAGGCACAAGTACAGGATGCAAATGAGCTAGAATTATTCAGAGACCGAAACAAATTATTTTCCTCTTAACTGACATATTAACAATAAACTGAGTGTAGATATTTATAGGCCTTCACAAAAATAAACAGGCAGAGAGCACTGAGATACTTAAAACTGCTCAAAAAGTTGGTTATCAATGTAAAGTTGATTGAATTCACCTTCAGAACAAAGTAAACAGATGCTGGAACAACGAATGCTCCAGTAGCAAACACAGGGTTCAAATGCCTCGTCAGCAAAATCTGCAATAATTAATAACAGGTTACAAACTCAAGTAAGTGAAACAAGCAAATTTAAATTGCTATATCATCTGCAGTTTTTTATAATAGATATATCATCATAATAGTTTGTCAGCAAGTACAAGCTGTCTCAGGTTAATTACAATACCAAAGTTCACAAAGGCATCTATCACATTAGAAGATTCAAGATCAAAGCCAAGAAGGGATAGTTTTATCCAGATATGTGTTCTTATTTCTATAGGCTATATCTGCTCTCAAGAAAAACTTTATCATAATAAATTGCTTGTCCAAGAAGGCATACTATCCAGGTAGGTCTTCACAGCATCTTAACAATCAACAAGAACATACACTCACAAACCATCTTACATAAAATATTTAAATAAAGGTCAAAGCCCAAAATGTTGTCTATTATCTATCAGGCTAAACATGTAAAGAACAAAGACTGTCCTTACAGGAATAATTAACTTCTGACCCCCACGATAGAGCTCAAATTTCCAGAAAATACCCTGAAAAGGTTAAAGAATGTAAGACAGCATATATAAATAAATAATGAACAAGGAAAAAAAAAAAGAGCAGCATCTTTCATTGTTCTTCAAATTGCTAGCAAATTACAAGGAATCTTTAAGTGAGGATAATACAAGATTACATAATGGAATCTTCTAAAAACAATTCTTTCCACTGGAAGAACTGGAAACCAAGGAACCATTAATGTGACAAAATAAAAATATAATATATAAACATTGGGGAAAATAATTTTTTGGACCATTTCAAATACCTTATAAGTTATAACCAAATAACTTGTTTGGATAATTGAAAATAAGGAAATTGACATGCCACATCAATATCAATATGTGGAATTTTCGAAATCCCACCGGTGTGTCTTTGCTCTTTCTTTTGTACTAGAGGAAAAAAGCTAGGATTTTCCAACCTCTATAGCTTCTCAACCTTCCATGACTTCTCCCACATCAAATCTGTTATAGGTATGCAGATCTCACCTTTAACACCTTTGATTTTGTTGATTTTTTTCTGAACCTTACAATTTTCGATTTAGTTAAATCTCTACATCTTCATCTACCCAAAAATTATTGGTTTTTGGATTTTCTCCTTAGCTTTTTGTTTGGAAGCTGCTGCATTAAAGTTGTATGGTGCAATTCCTTGTGCGAGGCTCTCGGGGATTTCGATTTATGGAGCTGCTGGACGTTTCTTGGAGAGAGTTAGAAATTTTAGAGGGTTCTTGGCTTTCTGTTCCAGCATTATTTAGCCACTGGGTAGAGAGGTGCAAGGGAGAGGGAAACATCTAGGGTAAGTTCTCCATTCCATTTTTCCATTTTTCCTCTCCCAGAATATACAGAATATGGTTCCCATTTCACTGCAGGATGAGCATGTTTTTAATGTCTTTTAGCTGCCCTGATTTAGCGCTTCAGTTTCATTCTTTTAGCTGATGCAAGGTTATAGTGATGAAAATGGAAAATAAAAATTCTGGTACAACCGTGCTAGTTTTTTTTTTTAGTTCAGTGTTAGTGATCCTTGGTGTTTTGTGTGTAGACAGTTTTTGGGCAGGTTCAAATGCAGGTTTGGGGTTGCTAGGTAGAGGCTTGAAAGTTTCTCTTCAAATAGTTCTGGTCTCTGTTTGAATACATGGGTTTTGCTTGTAGTGAATTTAGCTATTCAGTACACTATTGCACTTCATCATTCAACACTTTGTACTCACTCAAGACCCGACCTCATAAGCTCAAGCTCACATGTAATTTTTTTGTCCTTCCTTTGTCTTGTTTGGCGATAGATATCTAAAGTTGGCTTGAATCTCATCTTTCATTTTTCTTTTATGAGTCTTGAATAAATTGTTCCATTTATACAAGATAAATATGAGGAAACGAGAACAAGCAGCTAAAAGTGGAATCATTTCCCATTTAATGCAATTTATTACATCAAATTCTCCCTTGAAACAATATGCCTTGCCTCTGCTATCTGACATGACATGGCTCATGCATCTCACAATTCAAGGGAGCAATTAAGGGCTTATGGTGGCTTGGATGTCTGTTTGAACCTTCTTGAGGATGAGCTTTGGCCTGTGACAGCACAAAGTATGTGTTTTGGATGCAACTTTTGAAAAAGCAAAAGTCAGGGGAAAAAAGCTAAAAAGAAGATTTTTTTTTAAGCCAAGATTTTTGGCTTTTGAAAAAGCCAAAATACTACTTTTAGATAATGATCCAAACGCAAAATAACTTTAGCTTTTGAAAAAAGCAATTTATAATTTACTAAAAAAAGGAATATGTAAAAAAGTCCTTTATTTGAAGCCCATCCAAATGGGCCCTAAATTTTATTGCTGTTTGCTTAGTGCACAACAATGACAATAGGAAGATTAAACAAGCATTGCTGAAAAAGGATGCAATTCAGAAGCTTGTGAAGTTATTCCGGTGCTGTCCAGAGAGGCATTTTGTACCCATATTGGAGCCATTCTTGAAAATCATCCTTTACAGGATTTTAGATCCTTCGTCTTTATTTGTTAAATTAATTATTTGATAAACTACGCCTGCATGGATAGGTTATAAACAAAGGGTTGCAGCACCAAAGTCCCTTTTCCTCTTGTGAAGTTGAATGGGCGTAGGATGGACAAATATTTTACTTGTGTTAGTTAAATTAATGGATTGCAGAGAAAGAACTAGATTCTACCAAAATGCTTATGAGCAACAAATGATATAAAGTCAGATATTTATGCTAGTGTTGAAAACATTTTATACATATCTGCACCTAATACAAGCTTTCATCCTACACCTAAACCACCTTATTTAATCAAAAACAAAAAGATACAAACTATAAACATCAGTAATAAAAATATTTTCTTTTTTCTACCAAAAAGAAATTTGTTTTCTTTAACTGCATTACCTGAATTCCTATTGTATACAACCAGCGCACAGTGCTGAATTTGGATATCTTCCTCCCACCACCAACTTCAATCTCAAGGGAAGAACTACCAAATTAAATGAGCATACAAATTCAAACTCACTGTCAATCAGAAACTAAAATATATGGTGGTTAACTATGCTAATGATCATGCAAAATCAGTATTAGTAGTCACAAAAGATTGAGATTCAACTAAAATTAGCATTATAAAGCCGCAGTTTAAGACAAAGAGTATTAAAAAAATCAGTTTCACATTAAGTGATTCAAAACAATAGTAAAAAAGCAATAGAGCCAGTGCTTTAAAAAATCCAACTGTAAGAGGTCTACACTTGGTCCCAAGTCCTAACCTTCTCCCCCTTTCAAATTAATTATAATCAAGAAGAGAATTTATTTCTTCTTTGGGCATGCGATGGGACGCCACTATTTATACTTTTGCAGTTTGCACAAAAAAAAACACAGGCCTCCCGCACAGAAGACAAAAAAAGAAATGCTGCATAGAATGTCACTATAGGGCTGAGCAACCTCTTGTTTATTCAGTGCTAAGGAGAACTGAAATATGCATCTATTAAGGACTAAATCCCAAGTCAATCTAAGCAAGAAAGCCACAATATAGCATCACTAGAATGACCAAGCCTTTCTCGCAGGGTGAGGTTGGATAGATGGATCAACCAACACCATTGAGCCCTATCAAAAACCAATTTTCAACAAAAATATTAGGTTTGAGGTCTTTTTAATGGTTTCGCCTAAAGTTTTCTTCAGTCTTCCTCTACACCTTTTAAATTTAAATAGTATCAATAAGTTGTAACATCCTACGACCTAAATATTTGTGTTTGTTACACACTAAAACAAGAATTTATCAGAACACATATTTTCATTTGGCAGTGGCATTCAAACATGAATCTACAGCCAAGCCTTACAATTAAATTACTCCCATCTGAAACATAGCTAATACATTTTCTCTTCCAATCTGTAATAGATGAAATAAGTCCGCACCCATATTCCAAAAAAGAAAAGAAAAGAAAGGCATGCTAGTTTCATGTGATACAAGAAAATGGCTTTGCAAATTTGATATATAAGCTATGAAACTAAAATTAATTATCATATAATTCATTGTGAATAAATGACAATAAATTCTTTTTATCTTTGAGAAAATATTCATAAAGACAAAGAGAAGCTAACAATGGAAATAATCAAATAGAAAGTTTGGTTTTTAGCCATGATCAGAATGTACAAATGTGTAGGTTATGAAATACTACCAAAACCTTTGCTAACAATGTCATATAACACTGCAAGCATTTAGCAATCAAAATCAAAGTATGATAGCATGAGATGCTTTTCTATATAAATAAATAAATAAATAAACAGAAGCCGGATAATGACACCCAAGCTAAATTTACACCCAATCAGATTTTGCATACCTCCCAACTCTTCCCGTGATGCAGCCAAGTGATTTAGAAGAAAAGCGATGAGTATAATGAACTGCTGTCTCAAAAGAACTTGTGCCAAACTAAAGGAGTTGAGAAGGAGTTAATTTAGTATTGGAAAAGATGAAAATCTTCAATCGTTTTATAAAAATTAGCAAAATCTAACTAAGACAATGTTTAAAAGATGGAAGCATGTGAGTCTGTGACCTATGATTTATTTATTTTTCTTTTTTCTTTTTTTTGTGGGGGAGAAGAGGAGTTAGAATGATGGATTATACCGGTAAATTTTTTTATATATAAGGTAATAAAATTTTCAGCCCAAATGACTTCATTATACAGAAGACACGTAAGTACCTTGACTTCTCCAGATGCAGATCTTTTCTCATCTTTCTTTTGCCACCCCACAGCTATAGATGATTGTGGTCCCAAGGTAAGCTGTATCTGTAACACAGTTGAGAAGGGAAAGATCACAGATAGAAGATATTCCAAAACTGTTTCATAATTCTCTATGCAATAAAAAGTCCAATTCATCAATTTTATGCTTTAATATGGTCAATAGTTAAATAGCCAATTTTGATGTGATTTGGTTAATTATGGCCAAATTCTAGCATAACTCTACATTTTAAGGGATTTGGGTATCTGAAAAGTAATGAAAATTCTTGTTGATATTCATCTATTTCAAGTTCAAAAAATATGTCCTTGCCAGTTGGAACTTGGAAATGACAGACAGAACATTCCTTTGTTCCCTTGAGCTTTGCAAAATTAAATGATGATAGATTAGTTGCTTATAATATGTAGATCTTGCTTTTCTGAATGAATGTCAGATATAGTGACTGATTATCTTAATATCAACAAATCTCACGGCTAATTAAAAGTAACTGATTTCTTAGTTATTGTTGAGATATATAGTCCCACATTGGTTGTATGTGCAACTAATGTGGAGTTTATAAGGCCTTGGGCACTCCCACTCTTTGAGCTAGCTTTTGGGGTGGTGTATCCCAAGGTTCTTTACAGTTATCATTATGTATATCTTATTTTATTACATGACTAGCACATCCATACAACATGTCCGCGCCATGCTATGCACAATTACTCATCTTGGTTCCCCGTTATATGATCTACTACATCCCAAGTTTGTATGCATTAGCACTGGTTATCAAGTCATTCAAGAGAAAGAATGATTCGAGGTAGAGAGTAGCATACATGTCCACTTGCTGTTTCTGACAGTTGGCGGGTCCATAAATTAGAAAGATTCAAGGAACCATCTCTCAAAGACATTGCTACGCCCATTGTTGCCGCTGAGTGTGATGATAGAGCACTGGAATATGACGATCGAGAAACATATAAAGCATCATTAAACCTGGCATAAGAACACTGTTCAAATTGATTTACATAAAGCAAATTACCCACCGAGATGTTTGCACCCCAATTAGTGCACGTAAACCAGCTGAAGCCACAAATTCTATTGACGAGACTTCTGACATTTCATGCCTAAATAAAGCAGTAGCAGCTCCACCACCTTCCTTTCCATCAACTGCTAAATTGCCACTAATTGTAACAGCATTACGCTTTGATAACTGAGACTGAATTTCGCTTGTCATAGCCATTCTGATACTCAGAAACATATACATGAAGAGTCAGATGAAATAATAAAGATGAGCAACTGATATTTCACTGTCAGGAAGGTGTTTGTATAAATAGAGTTAAGAATATAAGGCGTGATATCTTCTTGTGGATTTCCATTTTTGAGCAAGGTCTAGGGAAGTCCAATGAAGGGTCAAACCCATTGTGATATAAGAACTGAACATGTGACCTCCAGATCACATGGCAACAACACTAACAGTTGTGCAAAAGGCTCTCCTTCTTCAGCAATATACAATTAAAAAAAATAAAAAAAATAAAATTATTTATTTTATTTTCAAATTGACACTCAGGGGGACAGAAATAAGAGAAAAACCAATGAACAGAGCAATACCCTCTGAAGAGGCCATGACCATTTAGACAGTGTGGCAAAGACATATTGACCAGAATTGTACCAGAGGATCGAAAATGTGACGCCATTTTTTCCCGTTCCTTCATCCTCTTCAGTCTCTCCAGCTCTGCCTTGATCTCTTCAGCTTTATCCAGCCTTGGACCAAGTTCCAAACCAGAGGTCAACCCTTCCATGCCATAGATATCATATATTTGCCTTTTATTTGGATCTGACAAAATCTCATACGCTTCACATATGCGTTGAAAGTTCTCCGTTGCAATATCTTTCATCTGATTGAAGAAACCAAAACAAGTTAATAAATCGCAAACAAGAAGGAAACAGCACAGAGAGAGAATGAGGCATACATGAGGAGCTTGGTATTTATCAGGGTGATAGACTTGTGCCCATTGACGATAAGCTCTGCGGATTTCTTCATCGGAAGCTTCCGGGGACAAATTCAAGAGTGCGTAGAGTTCTCTGTTATCTTGTGCTTCATTATGTTCCTCCATTGGCGGTGCCCACTGAAGGAAATTTTGGAACCCAAGAGGTTAGGGTTTTGCAGGGAATGGAAAGGAAAGGGTTTAAGGGGTTTTTTGCTTACGTCACCAAATTGGTCCAAATCAAACATCAATCGGCAAAGTGCAAACTACAAAAATCTCCACTCTCTTCCTTGCAGCGTCAACGTGTTAGAAAAGAAAATGAGTAGAAAATAAAATTATAAATGAAATGACAAAATTGCCTGTGCATCGCAGGAAAGGATGGAAGAAGAAGAGAAGACCCAAAATTATGCTTTTCTCTATCTTGGGGTTGTTATAGTCCATTTAAGCCCAAGGATGGCTTGGGCTTAAGATATTCGCTGCTAGTTGCCACAAAAAAAATATGGGATAAGAAGTCATGCAGAAAAATTAGGCCATGTTTATTCAGTAAGAAAAATCATAATGGAATTGAAAACTAATTAATTTGTACTATATTAAATTCTAAACTTTAGATTTTAAATATTACCTTGTTAAGTAACAATGGTAAATGTTAAAGTTATTATTTTTATATTTTATTTATTTATTATGTTTACCACTTTCGTATTTTAAAAATAACTATCATTAATATACTTTGGCATCCATTATCAATTTATCATCGTTAAGAATGTAAATAAGTCATACTTCAGTCTAATATTTTAAGTAAATTTTGTTATTCCGAAGCAAAGTAAATTATAAACTTAATTGACTTAATTTATTTTTAAAAAAGTAAAAGATTTGATATGCCTGCATGCTAGCTGCTTGAGCATGTAAATTTTATTAAGCCTTCGAATTTTTAAGCCAGCTTTTTATGTCCTAAAAAATAAATAAAATTAACTGTAATATTATTTTTTTTATTTACAAGTTTACTGCCAATTTGATGTACTCTTGGAAACGATAGTACAATATCCACGGATGAGTGCTTTTACTTAAATTTTAGTAAAACATATTCCTATTTTTTCATCCTTTTCTTTTTTGTATAAAAGCTGAAAGAACAAACTAAAGAGCTCTAATTACACGGGGCCAAGCAACACCCCTAAAATCATTCCCCAAAAACCCCAAACAACCTTGGGGAGGGTTCTCTAACAGAACAGTTTCCCAATTCAACGAGTGGGAATACCCAGCAAGCCAGTCCGCAACACTGTTGCCCTCTCTGAAAGTGTGCTCAAAGTGAATCTGCCACTCCAACTCCTTCATCTTGCTTATCTTCTTGACTAGACCTGCATGAGGATGGCTTGACCCACACCCATTGCTAATCATATCCAGGGATACTCGGGAATCACTCTCAATAATCACCCTTCTGTAGCCATTATCCCAGGTAATCTGCATCCCCAATCGTATACCCCATAATTCCGCTTGAACAGAACTCCCAGCCCCCAGGTTCTTAGCAAAACCCAATAGCCAATGACCAGCCTCATCCCTTAGAATTCCTCCACACCCACTCTTTCGATTCCCCTCCATAGTAGACCCATCAGTGTTCAGTTTGATCCAACCCACTGGCGGAGGAGACCAGTGAACAAGAGTCTCCACACGGTGACCATGCTGTAAACCAGAAACTGTATACAGCTTTTTTGCATCTAGAAAATTCGATAAAAAAGTACGAATTGATCTAGCAATGTCATCTATACTATTGTTTGTATGTTCAAAAACAAAACTATTTCTATCCCTCCAAATAAACCAACAAATAATTCCAAATAAAGTGCTATCCTCTAAACCTCCCAATAAGCTAAGTTTGGGGGTAATGTTAGATACCAGCCAAGAGCGAAGAGGCAAGCTATTGAAAGTATCCCAGTTTCCACTGCTAATAAATTTCCTCCATAGTGCCTGAGACCATAGACAATCTCGCATCACATGAATGCAACTTTCCGGGTGAGATCTGCACTTGGGGCAAGTACTTACATCAGTCATATGTCTCTGGTATCTTTTTTGGTTCGTGAGCAAACTTTCCCCAAGCAATAACCAAAGGAAAGTCTTGATTCTAGGTGGTCCATCCCATTGCCAAACTGAATTCCATTGTGGGTGTGCCTGGGGGTTCTCATCTACACACAGATTACCAAAGGCCATTTTAATCGAGAATTTTCCATCAGGAGAGGCTTCCCATATCACCTTGTCCACACCATCACCCGGTTGAGGTGGACATATGCCTGCCATGCAATTTAGAGCTTCTGTGGTTATGAAATTCCTGAATTCTTGCCATTTCCATTCGCCACTCTGATCTACCATTTGAGCAACCACTACATCCTGGGATTCTAAGGGTATAGTTTGAGTAGTGTGGTCTTGTAATGGTCCAATACTCAACCATTTATCCCTCCAAAACAGACTATCAGCACCATTGCCTAACAAATTTTTTGACCCTTCGCAAACTTGGGGCCAAACCCGAGTCAGACCCAGCCAAAGATTAGAGCAGGTGCTCCTCTTTTTGATCATAGGCATATGGCTATCTTCCACTTTGTACTTATTTCTCAGAACCTGTGACCAAAGCTCATTTCTATGCGTGAGAATTCCATGCCCAATTTTCATGAGGCATGCTTTGTTGGTTAATCTAAGACTTCTGATCCCAAGTCCACCCTCCTCTTTTGTCTTACAAACAGTACTCCAAGGAACCGCATGAGCCTTCTTGGTTTCTTGATTAGAACCCCACACGAAACCCCTCATTTTTTCCCACCTCATCACACGTACCAAGAGGAAGCAGGGATGTTTGCATGGAATAGGTGGGTAGTGCAGCCAGAACGGACTTAGTGAGGACAATCCTGCCTGCCAAAGAAAGTGATTTAGCCTTCCACGCACTCAGTTTCCTGTTGGTCTTATCAATGATGTACCTAAAAGTACTCTTATTGACTCTCTTATGAAGGATCGGAATCCCTAGATATTTTCCCAAGTCAGCAGTAGGGGTGAACTGCAAGGTTTGACACAACTCTTCTCTCTTAACATGATTCACATTTCTAGAGAAGAAACACCTCGTCTTGCTATTGCTGATTTATTGCCCAGAAGCCTTACAAAAATGGCTCAAAATATTCGAGACCAGACTAGCTTGATTTGCAGAAGCTTCTGTAAATAAAAGGAGGTCATCTGCAAAAAAATAGATGTGAGATAGGTGGCCCTTTCTTTCCCATTTTAATCGGTCTCCATTGCTTCTGATTCATAGCAGCATTGATGAGTTGCCCAAGTCTCTCTATACACAATACAAAGAGGTATGGGGAGAGAGGATCTCCTTGTCTGATGCCTCTAGATGGTATGAAATCCTCTGTTTGGGCTCCATTCCACAGCAGGTTCATGGACGATGATCTAACGCAAGCCATGATAAGATCCACCATGGAAGTAGGTAGGCCAGCTACTTGGAGTGTTTCCTTGAGGAATTCCCAACTAACTCTGTCATACGCTTTTTCCAGGTCAACCTTAATTGCCATCCTGCCCTTCTGTCCTTTTTTGACCCTCATGGAGTGAAAGATCTCCTGACTAATCACTATATTATCCGAAGCATGACGGCCTTGAATAAAGCTACACTGATTTGGCATAATTAGCTCCCTCATGAGATGCTTCAGCCGCGAAGCAATAATCTTTGTAACCACCTTATAAATGACGTTGCATAAACTAATAGGCCGGAACTGACTTATAGCTTCCGGGCTCTCAGATTTGGGTATCAAGCAAATTAACGTTTGGTTAATTCCCGCAACTTTCGTAGGTTATCTGAAAATATCCTTTATGAACTGAACCACTGAATTGCTCACTGTTTCCCATTGGGACTGAAGGAAGACAGCATGTAAGCCATCCACCCCTGGGGCTTTGAAAGGATGCATGCCAAACACAGTGTTTTTAATTTCAGAGAAAGTGGGGGCAACATCAAAGTTCCTCCAAGAAAAATCATCCAGAACCGGGAACATACCCCAATACACAGGTGTGGCAGATTCTGGGCCTCTTCAGAATACAGGTTCTTAAAGTAACTGATGGCTAGGGCCTTTAGTTCCTCCGGATCCTCCACCCAAGTCCCTACATCATTTTTCCAAAGCTGTCACCTTATTTCTCCTGGTTCGGGCAACCGTGGCCGAATGAAAGAAACGCGAGTTCCTATCCCCAAAAGCCAACCAATTGCATCTTGAACGTTGGAACCAGGTCAGCTCTTCTTGGATAAAAATAGAGTTCAAATCCTGCCAAATTTCCCTATGCAGCCTGTCAAGAGTTTCACTTGGACCCCTACAGAGTTGCTCCTCGATCCCTTTCAGCCTTCGTTGTAGGTGATACTTCTTTCTCTGATCTCTCTTAAAACAATTCTGGTGCCACAAAGATGCTTCCTGCTGAAATTTGGTTTTTGCAGGGACCCAAGCAGAATTATTTTGCCAACAATCCTTCACAACTCCTCCAAACCTTTCATCTGTCAACCAAGCAGCAAGGAACCGAAATGGTTTTTGGCCCCTAGCTATATCAGCAGAAGAATCATCTCGAATAAGAATGGGCCTGTGATCTGATCCATTAAACAAGAGGTGCATAATGGATCTATTAGGGAACTCCAAATGCCAAGCTTCATTCACTACCAACCTGTCAATTCTTTCTTGGAGGCCTCCCCTTTTCCACGTAAATTTAGGACCAGAGAAACCCACATCAAGGAGGCTGCAGTCACTGAGGCAAGAGGAGAATTCATCAGCATTCCCTGCACAAAAGCCTGAACCTCCCTGTTTTTCCCCTTCTTCGAGCAAGACATTAAAATCTCCCATAACAGCCCATTTGTCTACACCTACCGAATTAAGTCTCTTAAGATTGTCCCATAAAGTTCTTCTTTCAATCCTCTGGGGACTCCCATAGACAAAAGTAAAGTACTCTTCCTTGCCAGCACCTAGCCAAGTCAGCTTGGAATGAACAAATTGGTGATTTTCCTCCAAAATGCTAATAGTAGTGGTGTTTTTATTCCATAGAAGCCAAATGCCTCCGGAGAATCCCTCAGCTTCCCTTCTGAAAGAGTCATCAAAGCCCAACTTCCTAACAATACTGTCAGCTCTCTTACCACTAATTCTAGTTTCTAGTAAAGCTAGAACTTGAATTTTATTTTGATAGACTAAATCCTTAATAAGAGAAGAGAATCCCTTTTTCCCTGCTCCTCTACAGTTCCAAGTGCACACAATCATCAAAAGGAAATGATTGCAGTCTAGGATCAACCCACATGCCCAACTAACCTGCAACATGTGGTCTTCTCTCTCCATCAACATTGGTTATATCGTCCAAAGCCATGGCCACTCTGCCCTCTGAGTGCATAGCTTTCCCTCTCCCACTCTCATCAACAGCAGCTCTAGACAACTCTGGACTTGGATTAACTTCGGGTCCTGGGTCCACCTGCACTTGAACACTGCCTCCTGGCCCCACAAACAAGTCCTTCTTTGGCATAGAAACAACCTCCTGAGACTTCCATTTACTGTTAGCTCTACTGACAAGGATTGCTTCCCTAACCGGAGACTGGAGTGACAACCCCTTAGAATGATCACCAGAAGTTGATGGGGAGTATAACTGTTTCTCTGGAGTCAAAACAGCATTAACGGGCACCTGAATTGGGCTATTCTTCTCCAAACCACCCTTTCTCCTTCTAGCATCAGAGTTCCTTCTTGATTGTCCAGACTCGGCAACAACTTTGGCATTTGTCCTTCGGGTCTCCTTTGCCCCTTCCTCCCCCAGTGATTCAAATCGAGATCCAGATCCCTTGTTTTTCTGTCCCTGCCCATCATGAGCACCTCTGGTATTTCCTTTACCTCCACTTTGCTCCTTGTTTTTAGGAGATGCAGCTGCCCTCTTATTATTGCGTCTCTGCACAGTCATCCAAGTGCCAAACCTGTCTTCCTCTTGGCTCTTGGCCACCTCGCCAGCAATTGGGCTTTCACCATGACAATGTTCAGGTTGGGCTCCATGTGGGTTCTCCCCTGTATTCACCTCAACTTGCTTGTTGATCACAGGATTAAGCGAGCAAACATCCTTCCGATGGCCGTATTGCCCACAAAGGAAACAGATGAGATGCAATCCTCCGTATCCTATGTATAATTGTCGTTGCCCGATCCTAAATTTGGATAACAAACTCTTGCTTAAATTAACTTCAACGCAGATCCGGGCAAATCTACCTCTATCAGTCACCTCTTCGTGACTCCCTAGACCCCCTGTCCTCAGAGAGCTTTCATCAATGCGTAGGGTTCGTCCCACCATATTCCTCATTCTCCAAAGGTCCTTGAAAGTGTAGAATTCCCGCGGCACACCTGGAATACGAATCCATACCGCCAGTTTCCTGACCTTTTCATCATGTGGATCAAAATTTGGCCTCCATCGTTGGACAATGAGATAGTGGTCAGCCACTATCCAAGGTCCCTGTTGCTGAATGAAGAGGTAATCTTGAGTCTTCTCAAATTCCACCAAGTAGTGGTCATTTTCCAGGTCCAGGACCTTGTACTCACCTTCGAGATTCCATAGCCTGTGTATGCGGTTCCAGAGGAACTTCGCTCCAAGGCGTTTTCCCATAAGCTTCCCTATCAGAGCATTTCGCCATCGTTTACACTGTTCAAGTTTTTCCAATACGTCAAACTGAAAGTAGGGGTTCAAGGGGTCATCCTCCCCTGTTTGCTCGTATGCCTTCATGGCTTCTTTCTCCTCCTCCTCATCCCGTCGGCACTGGGCCAGCCAGTCCTCATCTTCGTTCCCCTGAGCTCCGTCCCACACACCATTCACCTGAATCAGCTTGTCTTTGTATGAGATCAGTCCGCGGGGGTCCCTGCGAGCTGCTTCTCCCATCATCTCCATGCCATCGGTCTCAGGGTGTGAACCCCCTTCACCCGCTTCGGTCTCCATTGCGCCCACAATCGGAGATCCTTCGAGCATTTCCTGATCCACCAGAACTAACCCCTTGGCCTTCTTCGATTCTCTGGTAATACTTCTGTCCCCGTCCGTGGTGGGGGGTCTTCCCCCTTTTTCCACCATGAAAAGATCGTCAAAACCTAGCAGAGATGCAAAAAGAAAAATCACGCGCCCACACATCTTTTCTAACTATACATATTCACTGATAATTTTATGATGAGTGTAGGTTGATTGAAAATAATATTTTAACCAATGAGTTCAACCTTTTGTGAAGTCCAACTCTCTATGAAACTACCCTTCCGCTATGTATAATGAGAATGATTTTAATTTGTAAACTTTAAATAAGTGTAATGATTTTAATGCAAGATTTATTTGTAAACAAACATTGGAAGTGTTCCTGTTCTAGAGAAAATGGAAAATTTTATTTTGTTACTGTCTGAAGCACTTCATTTGGGTTTGTTTTTCTTTTCTCTTCTGATTTATTGAGAAGGCCTCTTTGCTCTGAAATCATGAGCAGAAAATTAAACTAAATTGCCTTTTGACTGTTGTTTCTATCTATCTCCATTTTGCCAATTATTTTTCTTGTGAGTGACTCAAGTATGTTTATGTACCTTTTAGTTTTCCTTGGTACTATTCATATATGTACTTTTGCTTCTATTACGATTTAACGCCAAAGTGTATGTATGCATTATATATTAGGATTAATGATGGCGATGTTCATCATAACATAAAAGTCAACTTGTTTGAGTATAATTATTTAATTCTAAAAATAATTATGGTTTTTAATAAAATATGAGGATGGGTGATATCAAGAGGTATACAATTTATTTATTTATTTATTTATTTAGATTTTTCCATCATTTCATTGATTATTTGACTAATTCGTTTTAAGTTAAATTCGCAAAACTATAAGGATGTCAACATTTTCATTACCAAACCCGGAATTCAAATATGAAATTACTTATTAAACTAAAACAATCTCTTATGAGTTGATTGACGTAGTAGGTGGTTGCTTTTTTATTTTTGCTTCTACATTATTATTACTTTATTGATGATATAATTATTTAACTCTAAAAGATAAAAATTCGTTTGTTTTGTTCTGACATGTTTTTCTTAATTGTTGGGAGGAGCATGAGAATAGGGGATGGGCATAATATGGGCATCGGGAAAAGGCAAATATTTGGGATTGTGAAAAAAAGCCCAGTACAGATCATCTTGTATAAACTGGTTATATTTAATTTCCTTATAAAGCCCAAAACAAGTTGAAGCCCAAATCCTCTAAATTTTGTCGTGGAATTAACAAGTTTATGATTTATTTATTTATTTATTTTGTTAGAGTATGTCAAGGAGTTCTTTCATGCTGTTGTAAGTTGTTGCATGATTGTAATGGTATATGCCTCTATCAATTGTCTATATATAATCCTAATGGTATAATCTCTATCATTCTAGAACACCCCCATGACGTAGTTATCAACACTCTTATAAATATTCTTTATATTTGTTAGGTTTTAAAAATCGTATTGTTATATCGTATGGTATGCGCTCAGAGATACCTTAGAGATAGATATCCAGATTGACTTATAGCCAATACTTCAATCACTGCGCACAAGCGATAGGCTTATAGCCAAGACGTAGGTGTGTGTACAGTATTGGCAGCAATAGTAAAATAGGTCAAAAGTGTGTACCTGAAGTCTTTAACCTCTTATTTATAAGGGTTACCTCTTGAGTTTGTGTAGATCTTCCAATTGTAGTAGGATTCAACTTTCTTTTTGTTGGAATAGAGATTCTATCCTTAGCAGCCTTACTATTTTATATTATTAGGATAATTAGATAATTATCCTTGAAGGGATCCTTAGGTAGGTGGTTAGGATATGAAAATATTCCATATCAATATTCATAAGGGAAATGTATCTATTATGTAATATGATGAAAGCTTGTTTTCCTACACAAACAAACAGACGTGGGGTCCATAATTTTTTATTTTTTCTTTCCTCAACTCATTTTCTTTCTTTTCTTTTATGTTTGTACATGACCAAATAGTGTTTTTCATGTAACATTATACATGTAGAATCCTATTCATAATCATTTCAACGAACAAACAGTTATTGCTGACTTGCTTGGCGTCCTGTCACGTTTCTTCCTTTGTTTTTAGCTTTTGAAAATTTCATTCTTCAAACAAAATAAATCTTTCATGTTAAACAAACAAAAGAATAATAGTTGTTTGGTTAAAATTTTTAGAGATGATTCTATATAAATCAAGTTCTAATGTAATAAGGGTACGATATTTTCACTTCAAGACTTTTTATCTCAGCACTAATTTTCATTTGTGACAATTGTAATTTATTTAAATTAATAATTATTTAATAAATATACCACAATAAATTACAGTTGTCATATGAACAAAAAGTAACTGTTGAAATAAGAGTAAGACTTCATCATTTTACTCAAAAGATCCTTCCTCGTATAATAATTATAAAAATTAAACTGGCAAAATATTTATATGACTTAATAGGTTTAAGTCGCGAAGTAATGAACCGATTTAAATATCTCTAATTAAATGAGTGTTAAAATAGATAAGGTAATAATTAAACAAATTATATAACACATATTTATAAGCTTAATAACAAATAATTAAGATATTATATAATTTAATATCTTAATTCAAATAACTAAAAACTAAATATTTTTATTCAAATATTCCTTGAGGCAACAAGAAAAAATAAAAATATTCCTTGAGGCAACAAGAAATTTTTTCTTTATCAATACAAGTGCAAAGAGAATAAAATAGTTAGATGCTAAAAAAAGAAAAAGAATAAAAGAGTTGTTGGTAACAAATACAATACATCCATTTTTCACTGAAAATAGAGGGTCTTGGAAATAAAGACAAGCCACCACTACAATGAGAAAGCATCATCCGTATATGGAAAGACAGCAACACCCACCTCAGCATAAAGACAAAAATACAAGTTTCAAGCGCACATCACTTCACCCAAAGACAAATATTCAAATCAATTTACAATTTATTTATAAAAAAAATGAGTAAGAAAAAAAAAAACACAAAATTTTGATTGGTAATTGATTACGACAAAACATGTTGCAATTGGTCTGAAGATGTTACCGAAGATTTGATGTACCACGTGGAGATCGGTGAGTGGTTAGAAATCCAGTTAGTCTATGCTGTCGCGCATGTAAGCACTTCCGCGGATTCCTCGTCGAGCATCAGAAGGACCAAAAAGTCAAATAAGGAAAAAGCAAGGGCATACTTGACATTTCACTCCTCCACTCTTTTTCTATGAGCAGAAAAACGCAGAAGAGAGAGAGAGTGAGGGAGGGGGAGAGAGAAAGAGAGTTTTTGCAATTCGTGAACCCTAATTTTGAACAGATCGGCGATGGCTTCCTCTAAGGATCGCGAGAACTTTGTCTACATCGCCAAACTCGCCGAGCAGGCGGAGAGATACGAAGGTTAGGGCTTCTTCCTTTGTGTCTGAGGCTCACACTTGCTCATCGATATGCTCTATGCTAGATTTTGCTAATACCTGCTTATACGATGGCTTCTTTCAACTTATTTTTAGTAAATTTTCGTCCTTTTCTTCGATTTTATATCATTTTTAGCGTAAAATTTAAATTTTTGTTGTTGCCAAATTTGGTTTACTATCTACTGTTTACTGCATACTGTCAGGTTGGTTGCAAAGAGGCTAGAGAAAAGGGAATTGATTAGGGTTAGGGACCCCTAAAAGTAATATATAGTTTCCTATTTTTTGTTCTTCAGTTTTTTTTTTTAATTTTAATTTTCTGATTATTTTTTTTTTTTGGTACTGCATGTTCAAGTTGTGGCATGATACTTAAGAGTACTGGAGTGTTTTCGTTGATCAAAGTATATTCTTATTCTTCCTGTGATCTTAGCATATATGAAGCTTGATTCATGATGTTTTTAATCTTGCTTCTATTTGTGACAGAGATGGTGGATTCAATGAAGAACGTTGCAAATCTAGATGTTGAACTGACAGTTGAAGAGCGAAATCTGCTTTCTGTTGGTTATAAGAATGTGATTGGTGCTCGCAGGGCTTCGTGGAGGATCTTGTCTTCCATAGAGCAAAAGGAAGAAACAAAAGGAAATGAGGTAAATGCGAAAAGGATTAAGGAGTATAGGCTTAAGGTTGAAGCAGAGCTTTCAGACATCTGTAATGATGTTATGAGAGTGATCGATGAACACCTTATACCTTCAGCTACAGCTGGTGAATCAACTGTGTTTTATTATAAGATGTGAGCATTCATGTCTCATTCTCCACTGCAGTTTTTGGTGTTATATTTTTTGTTTTGCACAAGTGGATTGTGGGATGTTCAAATATTCTGCTTGCAGGAAAGGAGATTATTATCGTTATCTTGCAGAATTCAAGGCAGGCAATGAGAAGAAGGAGGCTTCTGATCAGTCAATGAAGGCATATGAGGTGCAAATTATATTATTATATATTGTTTTTGCAGTTTGTATGATATTTGCACCTGGTTCTACGGTTCTTTCTATAGATAATTGTTTGCTGAGTTTATTAAAAATTTGCACTGCCTGTTAGCTATTGATCTAAGAGGATTCTTTTGCTGTTCATTTCTGGTTTTAGCAGTCATAATAGGCTTATGGTTTGTTTTTGGTCTTGTATTGAGTTCTTTTTTTTACTTTTCCTAAAACTTCTATATTGTTAACATTTGACACTTAATGGCTTTGATTTGAGTAAAATTATATAATATTTTAAGTGATTTCTACACTACTAGTGATTGAAGAATCCAACAGAAAGAGTGGGTTTCTTCATCCTCAGCATATTATATTTTTTACGTAAATTATTGTTGTTTCTTGGTGTCTTTAGGTGTCTTTTATTGATTTTTGGGGAGAAGTTTGAACTCCTCTCAACTTTAACTATGTTGAACCAAAAAAATGGTTATTTGGAATATGCCATCAGGATTTGGTGAATTTGGGCATTCTTTGTGTCGAGGCATATTAAGTTTGCATTAAACCATTGGTACTTGAGTCCTGCTGGATTGTTTGCCTCCTTTCTCTCCTATTAATTTCCTTCCTGTAGTCTCTTTAGTTAATTGGGCACAGTTGATTACTGGAATTGCAGAACTTTGTTTCATTACCTCGAGCAACTGTAATGTCTGTTGATGATACTGCCAATTGTTGTTATATATTTGATGTGATCAAGTTTGTAGTGTTTGGAAAAAAGAATTTGTAATTGTTCCTTTCCTTGAATCTATTTTTTCATTTCTATTCAGTTTTGTCTGTTCTATTGTATGCTTTTGGTTTATTTTCTTCTGGCATAACAATGTACTTTTTGAAAGATTTGTTACCCAAATGAGTTCTCTCTTCAGAATGCTTTTTCCTTTTATATCCTACCTAACACTAGTATGGTTTGTTCATTGTAGTCTGCTACTACTGCAGCAGAGGCTGAATTACCCCCAACACATCCCATCCGATTGGGTCTGGCTTTAAATTTCTCGGTTTTCTATTATGAGATCTTGAATTCCCCAGAAAGGTGTGGGTTTGATTTCTATCCTGAAATGTGATTATAGATTGGTGTTCTGTGTTTAATGTGGGAGATTGTATTTTCCTTTTATCAGAGCATGTCATCTTGCAAAGCAAGCTTTTGATGAAGCTATTTCAGAGCTTGACACCTTGAATGAGGAGTCATACAAAGATAGCACCTTGATCATGCAACTTCTCAGGGACAACCTGACCTTATGGACTTCTGACATCCCAGAAGATGGAGGTACTTATTACTAGAAGACTTAAGTAAACTTTGGTTTATTATTTTTGTAGTTTTTATTTTGGGGAAAAAATATTTCAATGGGTCCATTAAGATGTGTATTAAGAGTTAGGGATAGTTCCAGAGGATGTCACAAGGGCAACTTGTCATGTACAATTAGGCTAATAACTTCTGGGTTTGAAGTTGTAGTAATTCTTAGCTAGGCACGATCTACCATAGGCATTCAAAGCATTGCTTGATATGACTAAGGTCATTGAATCTATGATAGAAATTCACCTATCTTTAATATGCTTTTAAACGTGTCAAATAATGATTTGGGTGCCTAAGAGATGACCTGGTAGACCATGTCTATCTAAGAATTTCTCGACACTGATATTTAAAAAATGTAACTAGTAGTATAATTTGTGAAGTCACTAATTTTGTTTGGCCATCATGATCATTATTTCCTTTTTGGTGCTTCTTTCTTTAAATGTTTACTGCATTTTTCTCGCCTGTTGTAACAGAAGATGCCCAGAAAGCAAATGGCACTGCCAAGCTTGGTGGAGTCGAGGATGCTGAGGTGAGTAATTTTTTTGTACTTGGTAGCTATAATTTTATTTCTGTTTGATTGCTTTATTTTATTCATCTCATTACTTTTTTTTGCAGTGAGGCTGATGGCTGGTGGCAACTTCCGTAGGATTTGATGCATGTGTTTGGGAATGATGCGTGAGGGCTGATTACTTGTCTGTGTATTAGCTAGAGATAGGGTTCCATTGTTTCCTCTTTCTCCTTGTTTCCTGTTGATTGGCCATACTTCCCAATAGGGGGAAAAGAAACTCCATTTGTGCTATAATATGTGTGTGGTGTCTGGAAAGGGCCTATTTCATTCCTAAGCTTTTCCTCCTGTCTGTGGGGGATTGATTGATGAGGATTGCTTATGGTGTATTTCCTGTTCCAATGAAATGCTGCAACTTTGTGGAGATGCTGCAATAGTGAAAGATTGTTTCTTCGATAATCATTTTATTTTGACTTCCATTGGTTACCAATACTGTTGCCGCAAATTGTGGAAGCAAGAAAATATTAGGGCTAGTGAGGTAAACTGGGAAAGTGATGTGGCTGTGCTCTGAGCACTTGATGTTATGATCATGAATAAGCCTTCTTTTGGAATACAGGAAAATATAACCTCTGCTCCGATTTTTAGTCCATAGTGAGCCAGTCAATGTGTTTTGATTAGTTTATTTTATGTTGAAAATATCTTATAATTTATAAAGTTTATTAATAGAGTTTTTTTGAAAAAGTGGACTATTCTCTTAAGCTTAATCAAACTAAAAGATGCTATTTGTTTCCTAGTTAGGATGAGATGATTCTCCTGACCATAATTTGTATGCGTATAGCAACTATTTTTGAAACTGAATGCCAAGAGATTATTTTGAAGTTGGTACAATGAAAGTAGTGATTGGAAATTAGTTGGAAGTGCCGTGACGGGTGAACTATTTGTAATTTTTGAGTACTTGCGTAATTGGCTTGAGTTTAGCATAATTAAACTAAAGATTTAATGTTTTTCTAGAAAATAATTTTATTTTTTATACACATAAAAATATATAGGTATGTGTGGGGCAATGTAAGGAGAAAAAAAATTGGATTTCATATACTTATATATATCCGGTTCTGTATCTTGAAATTTTTTATTTTTTTTTTATTTTAGGATCTGACTTTGTATCTTATGTAAATATATTTGCTGCAAGTTTTTTCATCAGTAGTGACAGAAGAAATGAAGAACCCTATATATATATATATATATATATATATATAAAAGAGATAAAATCCCTTAAACTAACACTAATTGAGCTACCGTTATATCACCTAATATTATTTATTCTATATCATTTATTAATGTTATTTTAAGTAGAGCACCTACTACAGCACTGAAAAATATGTTCCATTTAAGGGAGTGTACGGGAATATCCACAGCATCAAGCTGGTGATGCTATCAACTCTCACTGAGAATTTATGCTTTGATGTGATGGACAAGACTGAGTATGATAAGAGGCAGCAAACTGTAGTTTTAATACCATAGATTAATCCATTTTGTATCAAGATTGCGTTAGTTACTGTTCATTTGTGTGCATGTTTCTTTACAATATCAAGGAACCAGAATCAAACGATTTGTGAATTATTCATAGAATAAAATAGAATGGAATGCCTTTGAAGTTGGATAACCATAAACACACAGCTTTTATGCTTTATGTAGTATTTATAGGATTGCCACTAACCTACCTCACATTGTTTTCACCAATTATATAGACTTAACTTTAGGGCTGCCATGAGCTGCAGCTGTGAGTTCAAAGGTTGCAATAAAGAAGCCAAGGTTTTAGCTGTCATTTTTGACTTAGATGGCACACTTTTGGATACTGGTATTCTTCCCTACCCATGTTGTTTGTTCTCTTCAACCATGGTATTGGTTAAACTTTTCTTCTTTTGGGTTCTCCCTAAACGTTGCATTTGTGTTGAATGATTGGTGTACAGAAAGGGCAACAAGGGGCGTATTGAATAAATTCTTTGCAAAGTATGGGAAAGAATTGGACAGGGAGAAGGAGGAGAAGAAGAGGTTGGGGATGACACAGAAGGAGTCTGCAGCTGTATACGTTAAGGACTATGAACTCCCATTGACACCTGAACAATTTATCAAAGAAATCACGCCTTTCTACAGAGAAAGGTAACACTCCTAAGCATAATGATGCAACATAAAGCTATGAGTTTGAACTGATATGACAATATCTTCTATGGAATGTAAGGTTGAATATGGTTAAAAACTGCTTGCTTCAGTAAGTGAATCATGTTGGTATTTTTTATACATGAAACACTACATTGTTAGGTTGTTGAATATTTTGTTAATAGTGAATAGTAAGAAACATGATTTATTTTATTTTCTGAATCTGTTTTCCAAAGCCAATACACACATTTTGAAGTGGTTTTACAATTTTCAATAAGTCAAAGCTGTAGGAAACTCTTGTATTTTAATTATTAATATACACATTTACTGATTCTTATTTTTGAATCATGAATTGGTTTAGGTGGGCAGAAGCCAAACCATTACCTGGTGCTAATCGACTTGTCAAACATCTCCTGAAAAATGGAGTGCCAATGGCTCTTGCTTCAAACTCCATGCGAGAATACATAGATGCAAAAATTTCTCATCATAAAGGTTGTTTTCTGTTTACTGGGGTAGTAGTTTTTAATCATTTTATTTCTATTTTTATGTCTTTCAATTTCAAGGAGCATTACAAGTTAGCTTGTCATTCTAGTTATTACATCTGAATTGATTACTAAGAAGTTAAATTATATGTAGACACACAAGTATCTGTTTCTCAAGTAACCTCTGCCAAAGATAACTACATAGCTTCTTCTTCTTCTTCTTTAAGGATCTGCTTAAGAAAGGCTCCCTGCAATTATCCACCATTTTTTATTTCTTCTTTTTATACTTTCTTTTGGATCATGAATACCTTTTGCTTTGCCCCATTGAAATTCAATTTCCAGCTTAAACTTTATATTGGATGCTTATTATAACTGGTTTTCGTAGGTTGGAAAGAAAGCTTTTCTGTAATTCTAGGAAGTGACCAGGTTAAATCTGGGAAGCCTTCTCCATTTTTGTAAGATTCTCCACTTTGACCTCTCACATGTCTTTTAGGAAACATATGAAACATTTAATAGAAAGTGGATCTAGTGGCTATGAACAACTGTAACATTTTTCGAGTAGCAAATAAAGTCTCCCCCATCCTGAGTTTTAGCAGAAGTTATCATGACTAAAAGTAAATAATATATTACAATTGTCTCAATGCGCGCAATCACATTACATAACTTTCCCCTATAATCCAGATCTCCCAACATTTTCTCAGTTTTCCATCTTCTGTTTAGTTGAAATGTTCACTTTTGAGTCAATTATACTCTTCCAATTTTATCACAGTGGTGAGATAGTCTAGTTGTTGCAGATTTGAAGAAGCTGCCAAGAAAATCGGTGTATATGCAGTTAACTGCCTGGTAATTGAGGATTCCATGTAAGTCTTCCAGAGTTTCTGCAATTGTATGTTCATTGACTATTGTACTTTTTCTTGTTCTTACAGTCAATTGGCTTGGAGTACTTCATGGCCTTAGCATAACAAACTGGCAGTAAATATTATATCCTAATCTTAACCAAGGATGGTCTAGTATATCTGGGGTCAGATTCTGTGTACCATCTAAAGTTGGCAAGAGGATTCAAATCAGAGAATAATCCCTGATGAAAATGCCACTGTACCACCAGTGATGAAGCCTAAAATGGAAGTATTCCTCCCACCAACCTTTTGGCCATATTCAATTATAGAAGTTTAAACGGATATGTGTGGATGGCTGTTGAGTGAAAAAGGTGTGAAATGTTAAAAGAGTGTATGTGACTCTTGGCAATTGGATGAACCTCTTTCTGCAGAAATAAACGATATAAATGAAATCGAATTTTTATTTTTGCAATCCTCCTATTAAGAGTCATTTTGTTAGGTTATTGAAATCACCTACATTTATTCAAACAACCTTAGCCTAAGAAGAGGAAATATTGCCTATGAATTCTGAACTGCAGCATTATTTTCAAAAAATCTCATTATGCATGACCTGTCTAGTACTTTGATGAATTTTAAAACGGTATAAGTGGTTCTTGAGATATCTGTATATGTTGAGCAGAGTTAGTTTACTACTAGATATTCATCTTTGGATACTGAGATCACTTTCACTGCTTTCATTCACCATTTGGATATATCACAGCATCTACTGCCAAGTATTTTTATGCACCTTTGGTGCAGCCTTTCGGATTTCTTTCATGCAATAATCATATTTGCTACTATATAATTTATGTTCGGCAATGTACTTTAACAGGGTTGGTGTCAAGGCAGCCATTGCTGCAAAAATGAAGGTAGTGGCTGTCCCATCTCGTAGGGAAGCTGATTGTAATGGGATAGCAAATGTTGTGCTTCATTCACTTCTAGAGTTTCAACCTGAGCTATGGGGTCTTCCACCTTTTGATGACTGTAATGCATTTATTAGTTCTTAAGCATGTTGATTGATTTCTATGAATACTGTGTTCTCTGATAAGAGTAATCTTTGAAACTAATATTGGCAGGGGTAGATAACGCATTGCCTATTGAGCCAATTCATCTAAGTGGTTTGTATGTTGCCGGATCTCTACAAGAAACCACAGGTTTGTGAAACTTCAACTTTCTCAGTTCATAAAACTGGTAACATGAACAATAAGCTTGAGCTTCAGTGTTCTTAGTTTGATGCTGTTATGACATTGGAAATTTGGAATAACAAGTAATCTCCAAATAACATACTCTTCAAACTGAATAGGAATGTGATTGATCTTACATATTCAAAGCAGCTGACAGAACCACTGATCCCTTCAAATTTAGTATTTTTTTATTTTTTTTTATAATGGAGTTTATCAATCTGATAGAATTTAATTCCTTAATTCAGATAATGCAACACTTGCACTTCCTGATCAAGTTGTTGGGATTTTCTTCGGTTGGGCCAAGGTTGTTGATACGGATAGGAACTTTAAGATATTGGTTAGCATTAAACTGGATCATTTCTCCCATGTTGCCAACAAAAAAATAGTGAGTTGTCAATTATAAAACTCCACAATTTCTTTTTTCAGTACAATTTCTGGTTGGTTCCTTTTAAGTACTCTTGCGTTATTGTGTCTCATCCAAATTCTTATTAGTACAGACACATAACACATTTATCCTGCAACATATTTTTATTCTGATAGTTTGGAAAAGTACAGTTTTTCTACTATCATAAGCATATTTATAGGCTAATAATCAGCCTCTTGGTTTGATCCTTTCCTTGATTCTCTGATGATGCATTATATCCTCATTTTGCAGCATGTTTACCTTATTAATGCAAACAGTGACCATAAATCTGAGCAGCAGATGCAAATCCATCTTGTTGGCTACGTAAGAGCGTGGGATAACAAGGTAATGATGATCTTTTGATGGAATAATCTAACTAGGAGGCTTTTTTTTGGCAAGTAATTAAGAGCTCATGATGAGGAATAAAGATGCATAAAACATTATTATTCATATCTTAGGGAAATTTTATAATCATTTGCAAAATTTTATCTACTGCCCCTTCAGCCTTCTCTTTCTAATCTATCTTATTTGTACCCCTAATCTAAAAGTCAAAATTTGTGTCCATGAACAGGAACTCACGTCCACGGAATTGGAGAAACTCGAAGAATACAAGTCTATTGCGAGAGCTTCACTGGATTTGCCATCATTCACTTGTTTTTCATAGAAAATCTTCACATGAATGACCTTTTAGTTGGAGAAGATTGGAGTTGCAGATTTCATAATAATGAAATTCTTTGTATGAAGTAAGATATGCATGAAATCATTTATTGGGAAATGCTTGTAATGATTAATAAATTATATATTACCAAAAAATTACAAATGATAATATAGCAATCAATTGCTTTTCTTCATCATTCATGTATTGGGAAGAAAGTGAGATGTTAGTATAAGCATATTTGAATGTAACATATATTTGCAAAAAACATTTTGGACCACCAATTTTTATAGTTTTTACATACGAACTTCTCATTTATAGTCATTCTAGTACACCTTTTAAAGATGAAAACAAAAATATCACGGATAGATCTTGTTTTGGCCGACTCACTCTACAAGCCTATCAGTTGGGTTCATTCTTAAAGCTTACATCTAAAATCTTCTAAAGGGCACCTATGGCAAGCCATAGAAGCTTATCACTGGAATATTACCCTTTCCCTGCACTGCTACCTCTAGTGAGCAGTATGTCTTGTCTCCTTGACAAGATAAGGTTTGGTAAGACAGCTCATGGGATTGACCCATTTTTGGGGGGCTTCCACTTTGGAAAGGGCTCTCCTCTCTAAATACTCCCCTCACACATGGAGGGGGGATCCTCTCTTCTACTTTCTATCTATGTTGTTACTCTGCCCCTTGGAAGAGCCATCTTTGCATACACACACACACACCTCTTTATGCACACCACTGGAAGTCTCTCCAGTGTTTTGGTCTCTACTATTGTTACTATGATCACCCCTATATTAACATATTTTACTCTCCATAGAACACATCTATGTACCACCAAGGTACAGATCTTTTATGTAATTTTTACATAAATTTCATCCAATAATTACTAATTCCAATTTTTAAGGATGTATCAAACTGACAATTAGGGTCTATGACACGGATAAGGTTAATGTAAAAAATTTCACAATATATAAGTGGTTTTAAAATTGACTTTGACTAAAAAAAATTTACCGCTTTAATTAAACGAGAATAAAGTTTCTAAAGTTATTTTAGACAAATTTGTCTAATGTTCACCAAACGACGTAATTTTAGGATTGAAAGATTAAAAAAATAGAATGATAAAGACTATTATAATTCTAGAGTAAATTAAAATTATAAATACACCATAATTTCCATCCCAAAATGATATAATTTAAGTGAATATTAGATAAATTTATCTAAAGTAACTTAGAAAAAAACGAACCCTAATTAAATATTAATGCATGTAAATGTATTAGCTCCAAAAATTATGTAGCAGCGGATATGAGAATGGGCTAAATGGGCCTGGATCAGACCCCAACTTCTATTACAGTACTCTTTTTAGATGAAGATCATGTTTTCTCGAGTTTATTTTTCGTAGGTGGGTACTCCGGTAAAACGACCATATTAGCAATATTTTACAAATGTATCCTCAACTCAAAACCTTTTTGAAATGTATAACCAAACTAAGGCAGTTAAACGCGTGAAAATATATGACGAGATCAGTCCCGTCAGATTAGCTAAGGTGATTACATGTCACTGGTCATCACTCTAATGAACCTGCCACCTTAGTTGACGGTAATGGTCTGACATAGTGAGGTCCCACCAGAAAAAAAGTGACAAGACTGGTGTAGGTCTCGCCAGTGAAATTGACGAGATTCGTGTTATGTCCTCCGTGTCCCTCCCCATATCATTTCTTGTCCTCATATCAATAACCATTTCATTATCTCACTCAAAATAAACATTCCATTCCATTCAGGCCATGCCATGCCATTTAATCGATAAAATTGAGTTCTTTCTTTCACTTCCTTGTGCCATTGAAATACACCAAAAGACAGAATGGCAGTTTACAAAAGAAGAAAAAAAAGACCGTCCATAAACACAACATTGTCCATGCCTTTCTTGTAGTAAACAGGATTGTTCATGCCTTTATTCTTTGAGTATAATATATAATCTGCTGTCTTTGTTTTCTGCCTTATTACTCTCTTTTCATTTTTCAATAAATTTTTTCTTTATTAAATATAAAAATAAAAAATATTAAAGAATAAAAAGATAAAATACTATATTTATTTATCTTTTTTTCAAGCCTATTTTACTTCCCTATTTTCATATAAAAAAATCACAATCCTAATTAACAACGAGAGAAGAGAAAAAGAATAAAATTAATTACAATAGTAATCGAGCAGTATGGGAAAAAAAATACAAAAAATAAGTAGATATAATATATATTTTTTCAAAAATAAAATTGTAAAGGTCAAAAATCATCTTATTTAAGTGAGACATATGAAGACACATGTATCTGAGTTTCCAATCTCGGTATTGAGTCCATTCATCTTGCATAATACAATTGACATGTTCAATATCTATAATTAAATAATTGTAATGAAACATTAATTGCTTGTATGTTACCTGATATTTTATGTCGCTATGCTTTTTGTGATAAGGATTTATTGTATTAAAGTTACCATGCCATGGTAAGCCTTTGAGGATTAGCAGTGGATAATCCCTCGTAATCAATTGTGAACAATGTTATTAAAATCGACTCGGTCGATTGAAGTACTGGGTCACTGGTTGAACCGCATGATCCGGTGATTATATATAAATCTATAATTTATATTAAAAAAATTATAAATATATTCAAATAGTTGAAAAAATTAATATAAATTCTAAATATTTTAATATAAAAATTAATAAATTATATATTATTGTCCAATAAAGGATCAAACAAACACATAATGCTTGTTATATTGATGTTTCAGGTTCGGTAAATGACATCTCTAACTATCAAATCAAAATTCTCTGCATAGTGCATAATTGAGATAATATTAAGATTGTAGGTACATAACTTGTGTAAGTCAATAAGTAACAGATCACTCAAATATGTTAATTATGATTTTTTTTTGTGAAAAACTTTTTTTTGAAATTTTTTTTTAAAAAAAAACCCGGGCCGGGTCACCGATTTTTCACCAAAACCGGCCGGGTCGCACCGAGTCGTACGGATCTGATACTTGACCGATCCAATATGATAATCGGACCAGTCAGATGACCGGTTCACTAGGTTCCGGGTCGACCCGGCCGGTCTGGTCTGATTTTCACAACAATGGTTGTGAATGTTGGTCAAAGAAAAGAAAAAAAGGTGCAAATATTTTTATAGCCAAATATTGTCCCAGTTGAAATAAATTGCCCCACTTGAAGTTGAGATCAGACCTGGTGCGTGTTGTGACAGTAAAATAACGTAAAAAGAGGAAGGGGATATATTCTTTTGTTCTCGTCAACTTCACTAGCGAGACCTACACGTTGGAATTGAGCTCACACCAATCTCATCACTTTATGTGACGGGACCTCACTATGTTAGACCAATACCGTCAACCAAGGTGGCAGGTTCATTAGTATGTGTGACGGGACTCCACCACGTCAGAAATGTTAACGGGACAAGTGGCATACGCGTCAACTACCATGACGGGAGTGATGACCACATCTGAGGTGGCATGCAATCACGTTAGCTAATCTGACGGGACTGATCTCGTCATATATTTTGACGCATTTGACTACCTTAGTTTGGTTATACATTTCAAAAATGCTTTGAATTGGAGATAGATTTGTAAAATATTGATAGTATGGTCGTTTTGCCTGGGTACTCCTAATCAATTTAAATGCAACCTTTTTCTTCTGGCAAAAGTTAAAAAATAAATGAAATTACTTAAACTACCCAAATAGAAGTATACTAATCGATATATTGTTCTTAGTTTGGGTAAAATTGTGATCGTTCGCTCACAAAATGATATTGTGATATGGAATGATTCACTATAGCGAATCTTATTAATAAATCCCCTACAAGGCTTATGGACCTATATTTCGGTAAATAAAACAAGTGCTAAATTTCAATCAAAACCAAAAAAATGATACCACTTCGATTTTCAATTACACAAACAAACAAAAACATACTTTACTCACACCCACAAAGTTCACCTAAAGCATTGGTTCTTCAGATTGATTTTATGTCGTCTTGCACATCTTTCTGGCTTGATCACTATTTCTAGATAGTCACACCCACGTCCTACAAAATTAGTGTAATTTTAACTATAACAATACTCTCTGATTTCCACATTGGTTTATGGACAAATGCTTGTTGACAAAGCATTGAAGAGAAGCAAAATAAAAGAAAATGTTGGACGGTACATACAAATGAATTTACTTCGATATCTACCAAGCACAAACGTTGTCCTTAGTTACCTAAGCACCTTAATTAGAACCTATATATACACATACCCTGAAAAGCTCTTCAATCAACTAACATTCCCAAAGCAACAAACAGTTTATCTCTTTCAATGGCAGAAAAGGAAGGAGGTATTGTGAAGAAAGGGCATGAGGAAGGTCTTAAAATGGCTGTTTCTCTGCTCCAAGAGTTTGAGCTTCCAGCAGGGCTTCTCCCTCTTGCTGATGTGATTGAAGTTGGGTTTGTGAAAGCCACAGGCTACATGTGGATCGTGCAGAAGAAGAAGGTGGAGCATCAGTTCAAGTTAATAAGCAAGCTTGTGAGCTATGACAGTGAGATCACAGGAATCATTTCAAAGAAGAAGATCAAGAAGCTCAAGGGTGTGAAAGCTAAAGAGCTCATGCTATGGCCACCTGTGAGTGAGATCAGTGTTGATGACCCACCAACTGGGAAGATTCAGTTCAAGAGTCTTGCTGGTATCACCAAGACTTTCCCAGTTGAGGCCTTTGCTGCAGGACAGTAACATATATCAAGCCAGCACAGATGCTTCATGCTTGGCTTAAAGCAAATAATAATAGCTTCATTTCTCTACTCTATTTCCTGTAATAGGATTTTCTTCAGCTATGTATGGATGATGTTACAATATCTGCAGTTTTTTGCTGATCTATCTTTTAAAGTCTTTCTATGCCAAATAATTGATATGAAAGTAATAAATTCTTAAAGGATTAATTACATTTTATATGTTAAGGTTTTTCTGTGGCTGCTTGTTTTGACTTTTGAAAACTCTACATACCTATCTATCAAAAATAAAGCAAAACTACTGCTCCTTTGTACCAAAAGATGTTATAACATTGGTACTACCAAGTCTACAACTAAATTTGACATTAGTATTTTTCCCTTAGTGTTGGTTTTAGGCCATAATAGCATATTGAGTACACATGCAATTTATCCCTGAAACATATAAGTAAAATGTCTTGCTTAGATATACAGGAGTGACTGATTCAGACCTGCATGTACCACCATTTAATTTGTCCAGTTTTCACAGATTTAGTGAGACGAAAGTATTAACAGGTATTGCATTTAAAACATTAAAGAACTGAATAAGTCAATTACAATATATTTAGGGACCAAATCTATCTGCCTCATGTTCTGCAAACCAAATTGTATGTTTAGTCTAGCATTTTTATTAAGCCTCGTGCAACAAAATAAAAAATATACAGAGAAAAACGATCACTTTTGGGTTTGAAACATGGAAAAATATATACATATATAATTTCAAAATGTTAACTAATATCTATCTCTCTGAATTTTTCCAGCCTAATAAAAGCACTCTGAAAAATTGGTATCCATGTGTGTGTATCACAGGGAAAGCTGAATTCCTAATGTGAACTAAAGAGGGTTTGGCGCATTCTTAGAGTACCTTCTTCAATTGCTATGATTTTAGTTGCATTTGAATGCAAATAATGAGTATGAATTCTAAAATCTAGAGGCTATTACATTTCCTTACTGAGTCCTCTAAGAACTGATGTGTTGGGCGGATCATCTCCTTCACCTTCTCTCCCTTTTTATAAATTTTAAAAGTTGGAACACTTCTTATGCTTTCGGCTTTTGCTATTGCTAGACACTCCTCCACGTCCACCTTCAATTAAATTTTGAAGAAAATTAGACAGATACGACAATTGTTTTAGGAAGTTCATTAAAGCCACTTGACATTGTGTACCTTAATAAATTTAATAGACGGATATCTCACACACAATGTATTTATGAATGGAGATATTTCTTCACATAGTTCATTTGATGCCTCTTTGAAATGAACCACAGAAACACCTGAAAATTCATATTTTCATTAAAAAAATATATGGGGATTAATTTTCTTATTTTACATGAGAATATTTTCTCATGTTACACACACAATACATGAGTGGGATCCACAAAAAAGTGATAAAACACAAATCAAGATGGATCCCACTTTTTTATTATGAGTGTAACATGAGAAAATTTTCTCATGTAAAATGAGAAAACTATTTCACAATATATATACACATAAATGAAGCAAGAAAAATGCTTAGTCAACATTTTAAGATTAAACAAATAAAGTATTGAAATTACCAGCAGAAGCAATTGCAGCTTTAAATTTATCTAATGCAGAGATTTCTTCAACTTCAACTCCAAACTTAGTACCATATACCACTCCACGAGATTCCTCCAATGCTAGTTGAGCCTGACGAAGAGATTCAGCAACTTCATTGTCATTAGGGAGTTCGCGTTTTAAGGCCTGGTAATCTTTAACAACTTCTACCCATCTTTCAAGCTGCAACAAGATTATGCATCTTATAGAACGATGAAGAAATAACTTCAGAGAACAAAACAACAATGAACACACCCACATAACACATTGCAAGTGGGTTCACCTTTGCATTTGACGCAGCCCTGCGGAAAAGGGCTTTGGTGTAATTTGGTTGAATTTTAAGAGCTTGGTTGCAGTCTTGAACAGATTGTTCCCATAGTCCAAGTTTAGACCAACAAATAGCTCTATTGCAATATAGAACATAGTTGGAATTGTCATATTTGAGGCCTTCTCCATAAGCAGAACAAGCTTCACAAAATTTGCCAGAGCTGAAAAGATCATTGCCCCTGGAACGAGATTGTGCCACCATTTTCACAATATTTGCAACCCTAGCAACTTCAACATTACTGTAATCTAACAGGCTAGCCTTTTCTGCTGCTGCGACAGCATTCTCAAACCTGCAACAATCCATCATATGTTTCTCACACATTCACTCAAAAGTTTTATGTATTTGGAGTCTAAGGTGTTTGTTTACCTTCCCAAAGCCATCTCAACCTGCGCGGAGACAAAAAGTACATAAGCTTCACCAACCATACCGAAGAACTTGGTTTGAGAGCAGGCTGAGGGACAACCATCCAACTTTGGAATGTTTGAGAGACAGGATTCAGCATCCTCGAGTTGATGGAGTTTTAAATAAGCTTCAGCTTTACAAGCAACAAGCTGTAATAAGTAGCAGTCAAACAAGTTAGCCAATGGAAAACTACAAAAATTTCACGCTCATTTCATCAGTCAAGAGCAGAATAGCATAACCTGAGGTGAGGAATCTGCCCCAACAGCAATGGCTGCCTCTGATTCCCTAATTGCTCTCTTCCAATCGCCAACCTTTCGCGCATCTTCACATCGGTTCAGATGCTTCTCCAATAACAACAGCTTCTGCTCCTCAGATTGATCCTCCTTCACCCCAGAGAGAGAGAGGTGATGCCTGGAATTCCCAACCTGCCCAAAGCTACACAAAATTCAAAATCTAATAAGTCAACACAAATTCAATGCCTCCAATTCTAAATTCTACAGTCCACAACACAAGACCAATCAAAATGAGAAATTTAAATTTAAAAAACACCAACACATAAAAAAGGGCAACCTAATGGTGACAACACCAACCTTTATGACAAGGTTCTCCTCCACTATAAACACCATGGCATACTAGACAATAAATAACTAAGGAAAACGCAAAGAAAAAGCATAAGCCTATACTAAAATTCATATGACAGATGAACAAAGCAAACAAGAGAATCAAACCATCCATATGATTGACTATTACCGAAAACAAATTAAATTACAAAGATAACATAACATAAAGTCTCCACCGGTATAAGAATAACATTTCTCATATCAAATCTTAATTATTGATTTACTTAAATCGAACGGCCACATTTAATAAATCATAATAGTTAGATAAAAGAGAAATCATTTTCTGACGTTGTTGAAAATTGTTTTTTAATATTGTGAGATATCGAAATCCGTATTATCTTCTTTTTAATTCTTATTTATTTAAGAAGTAGTGGAACCTACCACTTGTTGTGTCTATAGCATGAGAGAAATGTTATCTCATCTGACATGAGAAGAGAGTGACATGAAAAAAGAGAAACCCTAGATAAAAATAAAATAATCAAAATTGAGAGCATTTTAAGTTACCGGAGATAAAGAGAGGAAAGCCTCTTGTGGGCCCTAGCATAAGCAGGATCCAACTTCACAGCCTCAAGGCACTCCCTCGCCGCCTCACCTAACCTCCCCAACGCCGTGAGCGCCGCCGCACGATTACTCCGGTAAGCGGAATTTCCCGGCGACATGGAAACAGCACGATCATACATTGCCAACGCCTCTGTAAAGTTACCACTCCTATACAAATCGTTCCCAACATTCTTCACCTCCTCAGGATCAGAACCACCCATTGCGCGCTTCACCATAACCGATGATACACCCGCACCCACAGAATTCCCACCCAAACCCCGCACTATGCTGCCGCGCCCGTAGTTCACATTCCCCGAACCCAAGACGTCGGTCCGGTTCGGCCCGCGAGAGGGCAAACCGGAACCCGGTTTGAGGATCTTCCCCGTCGGACAAATGTTCCCGCTCGGAAACAAGCTCGGACTGTTCGCTCCGACAGAGTGGTATAACGGAGCTCCGGCGGAGACCGATCTCCGGTGACCGGGCTTTTTATCGCTAGTCGTCGCAGCGAGCTCGCCGGAGTGGTTGGTAGGCATTCTGTCACTGGGGAGTTTGGGAGCAGCGGCGGCATTAACGGTGGAACCCAGATCGAGTTGTTTGGAATCGGGCTTGTTGTGGTCGCGACACAGGGAATCGAAGCCCGTTTGTTGCATTGTGTTGGACATTATTCACTTAGTGTGTGTCTGTTTTGGTTAATATAGGAAATTGGAAAATAAAGCAATAACAAAAACTAGTTATTATTATTAAGTGACGCGAATCTCTGTGTGTTTGTGCGTGCGTGCGTGTGTGTGATCGTAGGTTTGTTCTGGTTTGGTTTTGAGTTTAAAAGAAGAGAAACAATGCTCAAGCTTAGTTTTTCTCTTTCATGGTGAAGGTTTTTTTCTTCGTTATGTTTTTCTCTTACCTCCCCCTCCTTAAACTTGATGAGATGATGCTTACGCGTAACGGCTAGCATTACTAGTTTCTACTACATCCATTTGATAACCTCTACTACATTGAAATAAACATGTAACATACAAGAAGTACAATGGGCCTAGATCAGGCCCAACCCACACATGGCCCACGTCTGGCGTCATGACTTTCTCATGGCCCACTCTGCTTGAAATAATTTTCTATCATTATATTTATTAAAAAAAAAAAAAATACACTTGAGATCGTAGAATATTTAAGCCTCGAAATGAAAACTCAAGGGGTTTATTGAATGGGACAGGATCCGTTTACAAGTTTTTTTTGCAATTACACTAATGTAGGATCGGTCGTACACTGTGTGATTAATGTAGGACCGATCCTACGTAATATAGTTTGTAAGAGTTTGTAAACAAAAAAATTTGTAAATATAACATGTCCCTTACTAAATTGCTTAGAATAAATAATGTCATGCCTAGGACCGATTGTCCTTTAATTTTCTCATCCTAGTATTTTATATTAATTCGTCATAAGCGTCATCAATTCAATACCTGTACTACATTAAATTACATACTTTATTAGCCGTATAAATTAGCAATGATAATCTCAAATTGTTATGTTTTTTTTTTTTTTTCAAATATTTCAAGTCGGTTTATTATTTTGTAACTAATCCGATTCGGGGCGGGTCCAGGATTAAAGCTTTAAACCTCTCCCAAAGGTGGTACTGGAAAGATTCGAACACATGCTCTCATCCCCACCTGCTTAGCTCTCATGCGCCAACTGAGCTACCACTATTCGATACTTACAACGTAAATTTTGTTGCTAAGGGAACAAATCAACAAAAACTTTTTTTATATATAAAAGAAAATGACCGAAATAATGTCATTTCAAAATCATATCAATCCAACTTTTCTGCATAAAGATATAAGGAATATTAAACATGTCTTCAATTGAGAAGACAAACCACTACTCACGACAGTAAATTTTAAAACGTGCCAAGAAGTGGTTGCAAATATAATAACATAAGAATTCACATAATTAAAAACAAAAGGAGGGAAATTACCTTCTACTTTGAACATCGCAAAGTGAATAGCAATTGACATTGTTAATAATGACCTAGTGAAATAGATCTGCACTCTAAAGCACTTTTTTTGTCACAAATGGTTTATTCCACGTAAACAGTAAGTTTGGGAGAAGAGACATATCTCATGAACATCATCACTCTTGTCTGGTTTTATGGACAAAATGGTCGATGATCCTTGATCAGAAATAAGCCCAAAGAAATTATATATATATATATATATATATATATATATATATATATATATATATATAAAAAGTAGAATTATTTGATATCTGTGTCAAACTAAAAAGTTTGATACCAAATTCAACCATTGATTTCTATCAATCTGACTGTTATAGTTAATTTGTAAGTTTGACACAGATATCAAATAATTCTACTCATATATATATATATATAATCGATAATTGACTCATCGAGATACTAAGTCAATAGAGCATAAGTTTAATCAATAGTCACGAGTCAAACAGTTTGAGTGAAATTTATGTAAAGATACTTAACAAAAATATAATTAGAAATAGGGATTTATAATTATTATGTTTCAAGAAATTGTTTATATTATGTCATAGAGTGATCGAAATCCATGTCTGAAACTTTTGCTTTTTTTGTTTTTTTAAATAACAATAGGGTTCATCTATATTGTCTCTGCAGGAAATTATAAAATCTCTCTGTCAGATGACATACATAAGTCCCATAGAAGTAATGTGATGACATTTAATAACTAACATTTGACTTTTCTTCCTTTAGGTGTTGACTTTGACTTCTAGGAGTGCAATGAAATATTTTACCATAATTTTAAATAATCGGTTCAATCAGAAAACCAACATCGATTGAACTAGATTTATGGCCGATTCACCCACTCTTGTCTCGTTTAGCTGCATGGCCGGATCTGTTTTAATAACAATAATACAAAGTTTGACTATATGAGTGATTATGATTTTGAGCAACGAAAGTTAATACTCCAAGTTAGAAAATCAACAACTTAAGCCAATGTAACAAATTTAAATAAGAATTGAATTCAAATAATTATAAGTGCAAGAAGGGCACGTTAGTGTGGGTGAAGTGGAGACACAGTGCCGGTGGGCATGTGGAGAGAGTGCAGCGTTAGGTGGGGCCATCACATTCCTAAGCATAGCCTCCAACAAAGCAAAAACTGTGGCCCCCACTCCACTCTTCTTAGGTTGGACTTTGGAGTGTGGTGTCAAGCATATTCCAGCAACATGCACTGACATTCTGTTTGGACTTTATTAGAGATAATAAAGTAAAGTTCAATGGACTGGGATGGGAATGGTGTTGTGTATTTTACCAAAACCAGAAACATGACTTCATATGTGTACTTTCTGCTGCCCATAACACACCCCTATTGTTACCTTACTTTTTGTTGCACATCTTTTTTCAATATTTTGCAAACCACCACCAAAGATAACTCCATTTTCTTCTCCAAATTTTGGTTAACTCTTAACAAAGTATGATTGTATTGTTCATTTCATCATTTTATGTAGAATTAGTAAGATGATAGTACAATTCTTAGAACTTTTATATTCTAATGGTATCTCTAGATTAATAATAAAATTCCTTTAAGAAACCGCCTTTTACTATAAATAAAAGGTTTTGGGATACTGAAGTAAAGTTGTTTCCCATTCATATTATGCAAAACCTTATTTGGCCCTATACCAAAGTGTCTATTATGCTCGGAAGTAGGTTTTTCCTTATTTACTTTATGACATTTAATTGTTTTTCGTCTGTATATAAAATATGGGTTTTATAATTCTCATGTTGAAGGATAATTGAAATCTCATGTTGTAGAGATAAAAAGCATGTGGGACCCATGTGTAAGAATAAATTATATGTAGGACCCATGTCAGCACGGAAATCGACGGATGTGTAAGAAAATTATAATTCTCATATTAAATAAGAATTATAAAACTCATAAAATATATTGTCATTCTCAAATAGGTGTCACCATCAGAATAATTAGGGACAGATCTAAAGTTATTGTTCGGGTCCCATAGCTCTTCAAATTGCAAATTTCTTAAAATTTTATTATTTGCTCTTAATACTTAGTGTGTATTTAGTTAGTGTATCGTCATATCGTGTACTATACACAATATTGATCTTTAATAATTATATATAAAACTATGAGGCTTTTAATCCGTTAAATTCTTATGATTTATTTGAAGTTTTGAACTTATACGAAAAAAAAAAATTGATTGTAAGACTTTAGAGAAAAAGACTATTAGATGAAGCCAAAAATTGATTGAAACGTTTTGTATATTTAACAAATAAAAATTTTGATTTTGATTGAAACGTTTTGTATGTGAAATTTATTAATCTCATGTTAAAGGAGATAGTTATCTCATGTCATAGAGATAAATTTGTGGACTCCACTACCTAAAAAAATAAAATAAAATAAAAAAGTGACACAGTTATCGAAAAGTGTATAGGAGAGAAATTATATCTTATATAACATAAGAATAGTTTTTCCTTTGTATATTTACTAACTCTTTAGTAATAGTTTAATGCATCAACTTGAACAAATTTGACTACTTCATTCTCGAGCTTTTGATTTTGGAATGCGAGTGGTCGTGCATGCATGTCAATTTTCAATCTCAACCAAATATAAAAGAAGCTTAAAGTAACAAGTTGCACAATCCATATAATTTCTAGCTACTTCATTTTCATTTCTTTTTGCAGGCAAAGCAGATATATAGTGAATTCAATCTGACATTTTTTGGTTTCCGCGTTGAAATCTGAATAAATTAACATCTTGATATGAGCCATATAATGATTTTATACTACAATATATAAAAGAACAGCTGAGAATTTCTGATCGCCATGGCATTGATGTGAACCAAAATTATTATTTTTTCTGGGTATTGGAGATTTTCTTCCTGGAAAAAAGTCAAAAGTTATTTTTTGAAATAAATTATTTGCTATATATGTACTATTTATAATAAAAAAAAAGTAAAGTTAATTAACTGTGAGACGCGAGTTTATAAACTACGAATCGTTCAAACCAGAAAATATATAATCAATGCTTCAACTTTAGTTGTAACGCTATAATGCATGCTACTACTTGTCTTGTTTAGAATCTTTAGATTCATCATTAGTCAGTATACAGGGAAAAACTCTTTCGTTCAATGGAGAGACAACGTGTGAATGTGTGATGAACGCCGGATAGTGTCAACTAAATAAGATCAATTCCATCCACTGCAACATTTTCAAGCTTTTTTTCTGTAGGTGTATGCTCAGAAATTTTGTACAAAATTAAGTGTATTTTTTGATTAATTTGTTTTTAAAGTGTTTTTCTAACTACCCAAACAAATTTAATGTAGGTATATCATCAGAAACGCGGAAGCGCATCGAACCGACACGACGAGGGAAAAGATTAACCTTCATCGTTTTGATTACCTGGAAGGGCGTAGTTGTGTGACCACGAACAATAGTTGTTCCCTCTATGATCGATCTTCCAGACTATCTCTCGAGGAGGATGAGATGGTTGTGTGGGCAACCGTTCAGATGATGAACGTCTGCCTCTTGGGTTTGTTTCTAATGATCTGTTCACCTTAGAGGCACAAGAGGAGAAAACTGTGAATATATACTTTAGGTCTTAGACATAACTCAACCCTAAGCCTCATGGGCTCAAGTGTCACTGAAGCCCAATAGGACTTTAGTGAC